GGGGAAATCAAGGGATAGATTAAAAAGAAAAAAGAATGGGGGAAAAGGTGAAGAGATAAAAATGCAATGCAGTTTTAATGCGCCTTTCGCCAAGAATTTTGCCCTCGTTGAACACTAGCAATGCCGACATAATCTAGATTTGGTATACAGAACGAAGTTTCTGAGCAACATGAGCCGGGAGCTGGGTGAGGAACGAATCGAAGTTGGGTATCAAATTTTTATAGCCTTGCAGAACCTGTGCGTTGTTAGTGGCTATCGAAAGATGGAAAGGGGCAACGCAAAATGTATATCTTACCTGCTGAAATGAGCTCTGAATATCACGGTAATCCTCCTGGTGGAGAGACTTGGTAGGGAAGGCGGCGATCGCCTGGAAGTAATCCGCAAGGCTGGCTTCCATGGCTTGTGGGTTCTTCATGACCACTTGGTTGAATCCCAGGAAAGCGGAAGCCTTCTCCCGCGTAAATTCAATCTTATTCATAGATTTCAAGAACGCGCCCGCGTACTCACCGAGGCGAGGGGCAAGTTGATCGGAGCAGCACATCCCCAATCTTCCCAAGGCCATTGCAGCGTTTTCATTCACGGAGTCAATGATCTCCTCGTTGTTGATGATGACATATAAGCCCTGGTACAGCTTGTCGGCGTAAGGTGACAGGGCCGCCTTTTCGTTGACTGCAATTTCTCCACAGGACCAGCAGGCGTTGTTCAACACACTGAAGCCTGTGTGACGATCATCATCTTTAATCAAGTCCAGGTCAAGCTGCTTGATAAGGGTCGGCATAATGTTGGGGATGAAAGGCTCCAGTTGCGCGAAGATGTTGATGGCACAGTCGCCGAGCAATGCATAGGACGACTGACGCACCTCATAGTTCGGATCCTCCATGCAAAAGCAGAGGAGGTCAAAGAAGCGTGGCTGGGAATTGGCTACTAGCTCGCCACTCTTCTGGGGATCAATCGCCTGGATGATCGCACTGAGGAGATCCAAACTGGTCACCAAGAAATCCTTGTCGGGCTCCTCGATAGCTTGGTTGTTGATAGAAGCCATAAATTCTTGCAGGTTCTCGTAGATGATCTTAATACATCTTTGGAAGAGAGGAGGAGCAAAGGGAGCAAACGCATCGCCGTACGCAGCAGCAATGTAGCCAAGGCATTCCAATAACGGAAAGAGCTCCCGAGACTGATCCGACACCTTGTTATAGCGGTCGATAAGAGCAGGCATGAGGATGTCGACAAGGTTTGGCTTCGACAATTCTCCCATAACACACTCAGCCAGAGTTTGAACACAGTCGTACAGAATATACATATTCCGGTCTTTGTATTTCCCGAAGCACTGGACAAACTGCCGGAGGATGGGTTCACAGTAGGGGATCAAGTTGGCATCTGACTTCTCTTCCAGGCTTGCGAAAGCGGACGCGGCTGCCTCCTGGACCTTCTTATTGCCGTCTAGCATCCTACGAAGGATACCTTCCATCATCGGCTCGAAAAAGCTAGCCCTCTCCGCCGGGTCGTTGAGGTGCGATGCCCATTCAGAGTATCGCCCCAAACACCAACAAGTAATCTGCCGCACGACAGGCTGCGAGTCATTCAGAAGCGAAATAAGATAGGGAACAAGCTCTGGCAGATGGGGGGTAACCGCATCCATACAGCCATCCGCAACAGCACCCAAGGTCAAAACAGCAGCTTCCCGCTGTGGCCATTGATCGTGGCGCAGGGTCTCCTTCAAGTATGGCAGAATGATCTCGAAGATCGGCTGGTGATAGACGTTCGAGAAGACGTCCAATGCGGCGGCGGAGCATTTCCGCAGAGTCCACTCGTCCTCCGGGTCATCTCCGAATTCCGAGTCCTCAATCTCACCTTCGCTCAAATCGTCTTCGTCTTGTTCCTCAGCAGCAGCGTTGCCGTTAGATTGCTCCTCAGGCTTTGAGGAGTCTAACCGAGAGCCTTTCGACTTGGCAAATTGCGGCTTGAGGTCTTCCGCACGGTCTTCCAGCTCAGCATCGTCACCCTCACTTGCCAGGCGGATGGCGTCATCCTCATCGTAGACCATGCTTTGAAGCAGCACGGGAACGATCTTAGGCATGTGAGGAGCCAATGGTTGTTGTAACTTCGCTTGTTCTCCTGCAACAAGCCAAAACTCTGCAGCATCGAGAGCCAGCTCTGGATCTTCTTGATTGTGTTGCTGCATAATGATGTAATTCACTAACCCTTCCATGTGCGGGATAAGTTTCTCGGGAGCAAAGTCCACCAACTGTGCGAATGTCTGGCAAACTGTTCGCCGCACATCCGTGCTATTATCGTTGGCCAGTTGGAACAGCTGCGACAAGAACAGGTCCATCGAAGCGACCAACGCCTGCGGTCTGTGAGGAAGGAAGATATGGATGGTACCCAGCGCCATAGACCGGACCTTGGCGCTCTGACTAGAAGTGAATTCTAGCAGCTTAGGAATAATAACGTTAAGAGGGCACTGCCCGTGGTAGTCACGTTCGAGGATTTTGCGGTTGTCCTCGCACACCTTCGCGAGGGCGGACATAGCGGCCTCCTGTGCCACGACTGGGGCATCCCCTGATGCATTACTCACGAGGGACAAGAGCTCATTCAGCACTTCGGGCCACGCCAACAAGCCCGCCTGTTGAACCAATTCTGTGATGATGCTACCGGCCGAGCTCCGCACCTGAAAGTTTCTGTCTCGGAGTCCACTCAGGGTGACCGATCGGATATATGAGAGACAAGGTTGAGGGATCGTATTGTATGCTACGCGGATCTTTGTCTTCAGGTTCATCGCAGCAGCAAAGCGGACCATATCATAAGTGCTCTCGTCAAACCCCACCGGCTGGGGGGACTGCGGTGTGCTGAACAGATAAGTGATGTAGTTAACATAATCGGGGGAGGAAGTCGCTTGTACTAGCATCTAACAAGGTAAGAAAGAGAAAAAAGTTAGAAGAAGCCAGTGAATCATTATAGTAGAGTGTGAGTGCCGGAGATTTTGCAGCAGGTGGTGGTATAGAGATCCAAAAGCGGTATGTGGACGGTGCCTCCGATAAAAAATTGAGAGGTAGGAAACACACCTGTTCGGCCTGTTTTTGAGCGTTGCGGTCATAAGCATTTAAAGAGTCCCTGAGACAGCAAGCTAGCTGTCTCAATGGCTCATCCTGAGGTTGCCACTCCATTGTGCACACAAGAGGGGGAGGACGAGGAGCAATTGCGGGTGCGAAAAGGAAAAGCGCCGAGAGGAGTTGCAAAGAAGGTGTGGAAAGTGTGTACAGTAGTCGCACAGGAAACCCCGCCGTGGATTTTGGTGCGAAGCGGCTCCAACCCCTTCTTCCCCAGAGGTAGTATTTTTTTTTTTCTTCTCAATAAAAAGAAAAGAAAAGTAGGTTGAAAGATAAGATGATTTCCCCTCCCTATCGATTAAAGTGACTGATTATCCGTTACGTGCAATAATACTGACTAAAGGGTAAAGCTTTTTTCTTATTGAGTAAGAAAAAAAATATATTTTTTAAAAAAACTTTAGGGTAGCAAGGCGAACGATGATGATGGGAGATGATCGCGGACCGTATATGGAACCAAAATAACAAGGTCTGGTTTTTTTGGTTTGTTTGCCGGGTGGCGGATTCAAGAGTGCTTTGTCTTTCTTTTGTCCGGTAGTGAAATGTCCCTCTCTCAGTCTTGTTCCATATATATTATGAAAAGATATAAGGGAAAATTCGAATCACTCCTGAAGCGATAATGTTCGTTGAATGGGAACTGTTGACAAGCCTTACCTGATTGGTGGGTATTGAGACGGTCCTGTGGCCGTGCGCTGCCAGTAGTAATTTTGCCATTCCACTTTCGGCGGGGGGTTTCTTTCACCTGGCAACCACAGAAGTACTGAGAATACCGTATTGATTGGAGTCCTGGTGCCCAAGAGGGGCTATGGTTCATACCTAGAAAGCAAGCGTTATTACCGCTGTTATCAACATGGACTCTTCTTGCTCCATAGATATTTAGAACTTGGCGGCGTGGTTTAGTCTAAAACAATGCATTCATATCTGCTTATATCAGAAATACCAATTTTGCCCCACCAACAGTACTCTGGGCAACAATCCCAGTCCTGAGAGTATGCAGCCACAGTTACATGTACTCTGTACGTAACAAAGTGATACAGTACATACAAGTAATGTATGTACATGGATACGGCGTCTGCTTATTCAGCAGATCCGCTGGACCTTTTTGGATGATGGCATCGATCTCCCGTTTTAAGGTTGACTCTAGAGTATGGAAGTTGAAAAATTAGGAAGTGTGATAAGTCTGTCATGGCTATCTAAAACTTGACTGATCTTCGACCGTATAGCGCATATGCGATATATTGCTCCTGATAGGAATAAGATGTCCACACGAAGCACATGGCAAACACCTGAAATTATCTTCTAAACTCACATATCATTCACAGGGGTCATTTGATGAAACAAAAAAAGAAAAGAAAAGACAAGAGAGCTCAACTGAAGAAATATACGAGGTGGGGTTGAATTGCGATGTCATGGAAAGAAGTTGCATTAAATAGTATGCAATGTATATGGACCAAACCAAAGAGCCTATTATATAGGTCAGTACGGAATATAGTAGTACTCATGAACCAGTGTACATCTTTTATTAAGTTCTAGTAAAAGTCACATGTTAATGGATTCTCCTTGCCTATAAATAATCTCTCCCTCCTTAGTCACTAGAGGTAGTATACTATTGAGTATACCACACCACCAAGGATTCCCGGAATGCGTCAGGAGATCATCTAGTGGGTCATGACATGATACTTACTAGTAGTAGTATGCCGCCGCATCGTAAGGTGCAACACAGCCTACACTGCTAATGGCAGCCTTCTAGCAATCTGCAAGGTACCGTTCCTGATGCTAAGCCTGTACTACCTTTGTCACTAGTACTACTTGAGATGTCGATGATTGGGACTCTTACTCTAATTAATCCTTTATCCCCGGAACTCCCGTATTCCGGCTCACGCGGTAATAGAAATGTATATGCAAAGAGTTGGTACTAAATAACTAAGGATTTCCTCATACTCTTCGCGTTTCGCCCTGTAACTACCATCCGATAGGCGTGGATCAAGTGATGCACCATGGATGTGATTCTTGATGTGCTAGACACCCTAGTATTCGACCGACTGTATGCATCGGTTCTCCCACGACATAGTGCAACTAAACTAGCGCATTACTTTCCCTCCAATGGCACAGGGCTGGTAACATTGAACGAAAGCGTCAATCGCTATTTCGCCCTATCACCTTCCAAATGGGCTACACAAAGTATATTGCCAAGAGACCACCTCCTTCGGCAAAGTTTGAGTTTGTTTCTTATTACATGGTTGGGCCTCTACCTACTCTTCTATCAGACGGACCGGGGCTGATGATATGGCTGTTCTTCTGGCAGGGTCTTTGGCATCGTTCTCTACTTTCTCAGCGCCACCCTTTCGTTTCACTTCATCTACGACAAGCGCGCCATGAAACATCCGAAATTCCTACGCAACCAGATTTCCATGGAGATCGCGCAGGCCGTGAACGCAATGCCCGTGATGGCAGCCCTCACTGTTCCATTCTTCCTGGCTGAAATCCGGGGATACACAAAGCTGTACGATTTCTGCAGCCAGGCGCCTTTTCCGCTTTACACATACCTCCAATATCCTATCTTCATTGCGTTCACTGACTTTGGGATCTATTGGATTCATCGCGGAGAGCATCATCCCAAGGTCTACAAGCATCTACACAAGCCTCATCACAAGTGGATCATCTCTACTCCATTTGCCAGCTACGCCTTTCACCCGGTGGATGGGTGGGCGCAGAGCTTGTCATACCACGTCTTCCCAATCCTGTTCCCTCTTCAAAAAGTTGCCTATCTGGGCTTATTTGTCTTTGTGACGATCTGGACTGTTATGATCCGTAAGTTTGCTTCCTATGCCAGTCTCAATTGGTGATATAAGTCTTGCTGACCTATTGTAGATGACGGAGAGTATGCTCTCGACTCACCCGTTATAAATGGTTCCGCCTGTCATACTATTCACCACTACTATTTCAATTACAACTACGGTCAATTTCTAACCATCTGGGACCGTATTGGAGGAAGCTATAGAAAGCCGAACCGAGAGCTTTTTGACCGCGAAGTGCGGATGACTCAAAAAGAGATCAAGAAACAGGTCGATGAGATGGAGAAACTTGTCAAGGAGGTCGAGGGCGTTGACGACCGGTGTTATGAGACTCAAGTCGAAATGAAAAAGACCCTTTGATGACTGGGTATAGTTTTTGGAGACTTAATTGGTTTACTATATTCGTTGTCTATGATGGTTACGCATCCTACATGAGCTCCATAGCAAGCGGGTTAATCTCCGCTTAGATCACCAAGTATATACTTAGTAGTGTTTAATGTAATCAAGAAAAGGTTCTTATCGATGCTTGACATGAAAGTAGGGGTTTCCTAGGCCAGAAAAAGAACGAAGAAAAAGAAAAGAAAAATTGGTTTGCAGTGGTCCCCTCTGGTGGATTAGTATTATTAGTATTACCAGAGTTACCGGTCGTCGTTGTCCGGCAACAGTGGAATCCGCCACCGGATGTTGTTGGAAGGCGCTCAACATTCATAATGCAAATCATTGCATTCGCATAGGTTTCAGTCTCCCCTCATACTTCTTTTTTATTTGAATTTTTTTTTTATTAGCTTTCTGGCATCTACCAAGCTAGTAGTAACATAGAATTAAAGTGGAGTATCTTTTGTCTCCACCGAGCCTTGTCGAGAGAAGGCGTATGGCACTATATTTTTCGTTTATACGGATAGATTTTATTTATATATCGAGGAGGACTCGCCGTCACCACCGACCCCCCGTAGGTCATAACATTGTGTATAATTTTATCAGCATAGATTCGAAACACCAATATCATGCAGTTCACTAAGCGCACCGGTTGCGCCCTATTCGCAAATTCTGCGAAACAATTCTCGACAACCTCCCGACGCCATCTATCAGGCCTCAAGATCAACCACAACCGACTATGGGAAACGTTGCACGAAACGTGTGAATGGGGCGCCGCTCATAGATACGGCAAGTACGTCAGACCTTATTAACCTGGACTTTTGAATATCTTTTATAGTTCCCCATCTAACATATACTGTAGGGATTCCACAGATACCGGCATGGCTCGTCTAACCCTGACTGATGCCGACGCGAGTGTGCGTCGCTGGCTCGATGATGAGGTCAGAAATTTGGGCTGCACGCTCCATGTGGACCAGATGGGAAACATGTTCGCAAGACAGAAAGGTCGACTGAACTCATCGGCGCCTATGATTGCCATGGGCAGTCATTTGGACACACAACCGCGCGGCGGTCGGTATGATGGAATTCTTGGTGTAATGGCGGCATTAGAGGTGTTGCGAACTATGAAGGAGAATGGGTATCAGACAAACTATGATGTCGGTTTGGTTAATTGGACTAAGTAGGTACCCTTGTTCTTTCTCCCGTCGAGTATCTCCTTTCCCTTCCCGTCCACTTCTGTGGCTGGTACTGACAAGATGACAGTGAGGAAGGAGCTCGGTTCCCCAAATCTATGTGCTCCTCTGGCGTATGGGCTGGCGTAATCCCCATTGAGCAGGCCTGGGACCTTCGGGATATCCATGATCCCAACGTGACCCTCCGTTCTGAATTAGAACGACACGGATATCTGGGCGACATCCCCTGTTCGCCCGAGGGCTTCCCCCTCGGTGCACACTTCGAACTACACATCGAACAAGGTCCCATCCTCGTGGAAACCGGCCGGTCGCTAGGCGTAGTTCAAGGAGGCCAGGGATACAGATGGTTGACCTTCACCGTGTACGGACGAGATGCGCACACGGGCACGACTCCCTTCAGCGCTCGTCAGGACCCCCTACTCGCCGCATCTAAGATGATTGCCTCGTCAAACGAGATTGCAAAGCAACATGGGGCGCTGGCTTCCACCGGCGTGCTCAAGATACCGTCCAATGCGTCTACGAACACTGTTGCTTCGCAAGTAACGTTCACCTTGGACATCCGGCACCTCGAGGATGAAGTGGTGCACGCTGTACAGAAGGAATGTCTTGAATCCTTCGCTAAAATTGCAAAGCAAGATGGGAAGGGCGTTTCGTTCGATTGGACGATGGATACGGATTCTGCTGCTGTCAAGTTTGACAAGGGCTGTATCGATGCAGTTCGCACCGCCGCTGATGAGCTTGTTGGCGCCGGCCAGTATATGGATATCACAAGCGGTGCTGGACATGATACTGTGAATACTAGCAGACACTGTCCCTCGACTATGATCTTCGTTCCGTGCCGGGACGGGGTCAGTCATCATCCAGAGGAGTATTGCCGTCTTGAAGATTGGTGAGTTTGTCTAAAAAGATCTGGCTGTGGCTATAGTGCTAATATTGTATTTTCCAGTGCTTTGGGAACTCAAGCTTTACTTGAGGCGGTGGTTAACTACGACCAAGCTCGGATGAAGAAAGAGGCCAACGCATAGCCGGGAAAATAGAACTAGTTGTAATTATGTAGGAGCGGTATTTATTTCCTGTTTGGTATAATTTTACACTGAAGGTTAGAAAATCGATAGAGTAAAGTTTCTTTTTTCGTACTATACTATCCAGTGACCATACCTTCCTACTCCTATGAATATAAATTCCTCATATTTCCAACTCTTTATGTATACCCCACACTACCCAGCCCAATAAGAAAAGAACTCCAGCGAGTCCCATAAAATCGAACAAAAATTTCTGTCCGATGGAGAGTAAGGTTAAGGAAAGTGGATGTTATCACCTAAGTGGAGATGTTCATGGAAGGCGCTTGAATGTCATCGGAAGGCTGCGAGAACGTATTCTCGGCAGTTGGACATCGACGAGGGCACCACAGAACCCTACATAAGTGCGAAAATCACTTCGAATAATACTCTCTATCTGATATTATATCCTTGGTTTAAAATAGAATCTAGATCATTGTCGACATGTCCGCTCGCCGGCCCATATACTTCAACCCCGCGGCAGCAAATGCACGCTGCGACCCTCGGGATATCCAGGGTCTCAAAGAATTCCATCAGTCACTGCCCAACTACGCCCCAACACCGTTGACCCCTGTACCGGAGCTTGCAAAAGAATTAGGTGTTCGTGCTGTTTTTGTCAAGGATGAAAGTGATCGGTTTGGCCTCCCGGCCTTCAAAGTCCTGGGCGCCTCGTGGGGTTGTTATCGGGCTGTTACTGCCCATCTGGGCCTTCCACCCACGGTTAGCTTGGATGATTTGTCGGCTAGAGTCAAGGAAGCTCCGATTACTCTGGTTGCGGCTACGGAAGGTAATCATGGACGAGCTGTCGCCTTCATTGCGAGACTACTCGATAGCAAGGCGGATATCTTTGTTCCGCGGAGTATGGATGATTCTACGCAGCAGCTCATCGGGAGCGAGGGCGCCCGTGTGATTGTTGTTCAGGGTGACTATGATCAGGCAGTGCGAGAGGCAGCAGATGCCGCCCAGGCTCTCGACGGGGGCATTCTGGTGCAAGATACTGCTTTTGATGGCTATGAAGACATTCCCTCGTGGATTGTAGAGGGGTACTCTACAATGATGATGGAGGTCGATGAACAGATCGCCAAGGAAGGCCTGCAGTGTAACCTCGTTGTTACGCCTGTTGGGGTTGGCAGTCTGGCGCACGCAGTGGCGAGACACTGCAAATCTCGAGATGCGCCCATATCGGTTGTGGCGGCTGAGCCGGACTCGGCGCCTTGTCTGCATTCTAGCCTCGGATCTGGGAAACCAGTCGCTGTTCAAACGTCGTCGACGATCATGGATGGGATGAACTGTGGCACCGTGTCGACTACTGCGTGGTCTGATTTGCAGAAGCTTGTTGATGCATGTGTCACGATTTCTAGTCATGAATGTCACGCTGCGGTTGAATACCTGGCTACGAAGTCGATAAGGGCTGGACCTTGTGGTGCTGCATCATTAGCTACCTTGAAGCGGCTTTCTGCGACGAACGAGGCACAAACTCTCCTGAACAAAGACTCCGTGGTTGTTCTACTCAGTACTGAAGGTCCACGGCCGTATTCCATCCCCAAGAAAGTGTCCGTGGAAGACTCAGTCGGACTGACACAGGTCCTTACGACAATCAACTCCTCGAATCCCTCACTATCTTTGGCAGACGGCGCTGGAGAGAACCAGATCGCAAACTACTTGACCGCATGGTTTGCTCACCGAGGCATCGAACATCACTGGATCGAGACCGTCCCCGGGAGACCGTCAATCGTCGGAGTCCTGCGCGGTTCCGGGGGAGGCAAGTCCTTGATGTTCAACGGCCATATAGACACTGTAAGTCTCTCGAGCTACGAGAAAGACCCCCTTTCGGGAACCTTGGGTGAGAAAGATGGCCGGCAAGTTGTGCTCGGAAGAGGCTGTCTCGACATGAAGGGAGGACTGGCAGCAGCACTAGCAGCGGTATCAGCCGCCAAAGCCAGCGGCAACAATCTTCGCGGCGACGTCATCGTGGCTGCTGTTTCGGACGAGGAGGATGCTTCCCAAGGTACACGTGACCTACTGGCAGCAGGTTGGCGTGCCGATGCAGCTGTCATTCCTGAACCTACCATGGGCCAAGTAGTCACAGCCCATAAGGGATTTCTGTGGGTTGAGGTCGATATCCTCGGCGTTGCTGCTCACGGATCCAACCCCGCCGCAGGACAAGACGCTATTCTTTATGCTGGTTGGTTCCTTCGTGCTCTTGAGCAATATCAACAGCAGTTGCCTGTCGATGATGTACTGGGCCCGGCATCCTTGCATTGCGGGTTGATTCAAGGCGGCGAAGAGCCTTCCTCATATCCCGCGAAATGCACTATCACTGTTGAATTCCGCACTATACCCTGTCAAACGCAGGAGTCGATCTTGGGTGACCTTAACAATCTTTTGGAGGGTATTGTCCGGGAGAACCCCAAATTCCAGTACTCAGAGCCTCGCGCTACTATGTTCCGCCCAACGCAGAAGTTGGCGACTGATCATCCCTTTGTTGAGAGGGCGCTCGCTTGTGCGACATCTGTGCTGGGAAATACTCCTCAAGTAAGCAGTGCACCTTTCTGGTGTGATGCGGCACTTCTCAGTGAGGTAGGAATTCCGTCAATAGTGTACGGCCCTAGTGGTGAGGGGCTGCACAGCAAAGAGGAATGGGTCGAAGTTGAGAGTCTGCAGCAGCATGAGAATGTGTTCAGAAGACTGATTGAAGACTTTTGCCAGTGATAGCTGAGATACTCCGCATGCGAGTAAAGTCTGTTATATTGTACATAAGCTGTGAAATAACTAAATGAGAAGCTACTCAGTGCATCGAGAGTACCATTCATTACTTTGTAAGATTTTCTGACATAGCCAGGGGTATAGATCAGTAGAGAATTAAGTAATTTTCCTATTGGCTCTAGCCGACAAGGTTACAGTCAGCGGTAAGGCTAAACCACTTTAGCAGAGTCTGGTGGTGAGTCAGCAGCTTCCAAGCTTGTACAAACAACGTGACGTGATTCTTCTGATGAACTCAACCACTTCTTCCCTTCAGGGATTCTGTGGACTTATACATAAACATGGATGATGAATCTGGATTGGATTCATCACAGAACTTTTCACAGGTCTCTAAACCAGAAGACAGGTCAGCCGACGACTTCCATGTGCCAGATATCAGCTTCCTTAATTGGCCACTAGAGGAAAATGCTGCCTTCGACTGGGATGCACTCAACGCTGAACTGCTTGGCGCTTCTTCAGACCCGAACTACGAACAGTGGTCGCAATGGATAGCTTCTGGCCCATCTGAACAAACCGAGATGCCATCGCCTTTTGCTATCCAAGGTGACCCTACCGTTCCATCGCCGCAAACCCAAATTAACAAGGCCGGTACCACTGCAGCTATTGATCAACCCCAAGAATTATATAACCCCGTGCCTATGCGTCCAGGACTTACTGATGTAACCCAATTTCTGGATGGTGCTTATTGTCCACCGCATCCCTGTAGCTATTGTCGTAAGCATCGGTTGCAGTGCCTGATTATCCGGACCACTCCAGCGAATCCGAACCCAATCACCTCGTGTTCGAGCTGCGTGGCTTTATTCCGCGAATGCAGTCTAGCAATAGGAGAGAAACGCCAACCTTCCGGGTTTGAGACTCTCGCTCCAGCAATCGGTCATCTCCATGGCCTCCGGGAGCTGAGCGAGGATGTTGCTTTTGCGGACCAGATGACGATCCCGGAGCAAGAGAACGAGCTCGACGCTTCGATGTTAGATCACTCGAGAGGCAAAGCTGAGCTGAAAGACTCCAAGCAATTTGTCAGAAAAGGAGCCAGAGTCTTACGGTCATGGTTCCTTCAGAATCAGGAGTGTCCCTACCCATCCGAGGACCAAAAGTCGCAGCTTGCGCGTGAGACAGGCTTCTCCAAGAAACGAATCTCGACGTGGTTTGCCAATGCCCGTCGACGCCAGAAACAGAAGATGGAGTTCTCCGGCCGTCCTCAAATCAACCGAGCTGGTTCCCCAATGCCCACTATCCAGTGGACAGCGATGACACCCTTGGAGCGATGGCAGGCATCTCCTCCAGAAGATGATCCCGTGCCTGAATCAGCGATTAGGGATGCCATCGCGTCTTCTACAGCAGAGTCAAGCTGGAGTGGTTTGCCCTCTGAAACTAACCGTTTCCCAACCGGATCACCATCGCTGAACTTCGACTCGGCATCATCTTCCCTTTTCGACTCCTCGGTCTCAGGATTCGGGAGCAGACATTCAGAAGCATCAACCGACAGCATATCCACAGCATGGAGTCGTCAATCTCCCAACGACGGCGCCTTGCCATTCCCCATCAAGCCACCCAGACGGCACAAACGCCGATCCTCACACGCTGCTGAGGAATACCGATATCAGTGCACATTCTGTCCACAATGCTTCAAGAAGAAGAACGATTGGACCCGTCACGAGACAAGTGTCCACCTCTCCTTAGAGTCATGGATCTGCACACCGAACCTCGCAGACCTAGAATTGACCGAACCAAACCAGGCCGTGTGTAAATTCTGCCCTTTATCATGGCCTTCCCAAGCCCATTTGGAGGAACATGACTTCCGCGTTTGTGCAGAGAAGCCAATAGAACAGCGGTCGTTCACTCGAAAAGACCATCTGTGGCAGCACCTACGCAAGTTCCATAGCTGTACCAAGGCCCCAATCCCAGATCTTGATGCCTGGCGCTTGACAAGAGGTGATATACGAAGTCGTTGTGGATTCTGTGGTCTGGAACTCAGTAATTGGGCGTTAAGAACCAATCATCTAGCAGGACATTTCAAAGAGGGCGTCCGGATGGAACGGTGGGAAGGTGACTGGGGCTTCGAGGCAGAAATATCGAATGTCTTGAGAAATGCGGCGTTACCGGGAAAGCGTGACCAAGGAACTTGCATGTAAAATAGAGGGAAGGGCCAAAGGATGGTTTGCTCTACCAGTGAGCCCATCTCCTGGGAAATCCAACAGTGTAGTGAAGGACGTATATATCATTATCTCAGCTATCTGATTGACGCCACACTGTACATACATTTAGATGTGGTGCCTAACTCCATTAGTACAAATGGTGCGAAAAATGAAAATAATAGAGCAAATGACAACAGAATGGGAGCAGGTCCATTCGGTGCGAGAAATGAATAACATGTTCTTGGTATGTCCTCAACAAATCTAAGTGCGTTATGTGGTATTCATATATTAGGATATAGTTTCTCAAGAGAAGTCGTGTTCACTCGTAAACCACATAAGACAATAATATATATACTGTTGACATCTATGCCCACACCAACTTCTTGATGTCATAAACCAAATGCTCGAAGATACCTGTCCGTTTCTTAGCATCATCTAAGGAAATAATATCCGATGCTTCGATTATGGATGGAGCTTCTTCCGTTTGATCATTTGGATCTGGTCGCTGAACTTCACCGGCCTTCATAGTTCGCTCTATTTCCTCGCAGATAGTCCGCACCCACTCTGTTTCGCTGACTGTTATGCTGCTCTTCTTTGTTTGTGTCACAGAGTTGGAGAGGGGAAGAGCTTTGAATGCAATAAATCGGGTCATCGAGTGGGGTGTACCCTTGAACCAGGAGTATACGTCCCATTCATTGCTGGAGGGAGCGTTGCTGTCAAGTGTCTTGGTATCCACGTTACTTTGTAATGAGCGGGTGTTGACACGAAGAGCGTTTGCATCGCCCTCACGGTACTCGATAACAAGGCCAACGTTACCATGTTGATCAGTCTGCGTGTCGGTCAGAATGGAAGTGATGTATGTGCCGTAGTTGATTCGTGTTACGGAGCGCAGATCAATTCGTTCGAATGACAACACCTTATCGATGTTCCAATCGAACCGGCAGCTGTAGATGGCGGCATCTGTGAGTAAGAGAACAGCTTCCTCGAACGGTAAGGTTCTCAGAGTATTAGGTTGTCGCGGTGTTAGCATCGTCCAGCCGCCCAGAAACTCCTCCGACTGTTCACTGATCACAATCCTGCAGCTCGTATCTATAGCATTCTGGCGGAGTTTTTGAACCGATATTCCTGGATCAGCTGTCTGCATTTCCGTTGCAAATTCTTTAAACACCTGCGTGGAAACATTTCCTAGCATGTAGTCGATACACGCTTGTGAGAAATAGTCGTTGACAATGTTATTGAAGTATCGTGTTAGGGTCAGTCCCAGGTCGTTCAATGCACCTCGATAGTCCCGTTTCCTAGTCCGAGTATAATCACCTTTCAGAGCTGCTGTTGAAGAATACTGCTTGGAGATAGCATCACCGTTATCCGCCCAAAGGGTATTGAACCATTGCGTCGATGAGTCGCCGCCAAGGTCAATATTGAGGCCCTCCTGCTTCAGCTCCCGCTCTAGGGCCCATTGACCGAAGGCGCATTGCGCGACTCCCGTACGATCTAGGCAGTCCATACAGTTGGTGCGGACGATGCCTGTTTGTCCCCGAACAACAGTATTGTTTTGTACGACTGTGTCGCTGTATTCGTTCAAGGTGCTCTCCAAGCTATTTACAAGTCGACTGACGTTCTCAAATTTCATTCCGCGGCACTCATTGTGGAAATCAAACCACTCTAAGCCAAGCTGTGTCCCATCAATTCCTCCTGACTGGTTCATAGCTTGCGCATATCTTTCATACTGCTCCCCCAGTTTCTTTTCGCCCGCGTGCTTGTCAATGAGTGAAACTGCTTGGATTTTGCCGTACTTTCGACTCAAGTTCCGAAAATGTCTATCAAAGGCAATCTGATTCGTTTCTGGCGAGTGATGTAGCACGGGAACGGGTTTGAAAGCATAGGGTGACTGAGAGAAGTATAGCGGAATGGATCCACGCACTTGAAGATGGGAGTAGACATTGCGCGCAGGATCCCAGTCAGGGTCTGAGAGAATCTGTTCAGTCTCTACACTGTTGGCGGTATTTCCTTCATCATCAACACCACGGCGCAAATATCGGAGGCCAGGTCGCTTGACCGACCGCCGAGAAATCAAGGTAAGGAGGAATTTTCGTTTATCAACACCGGGGGCTTGCGTTTCATGTGTTTCATCTAAGATAAGCCCTTCCGGGCTCTTTTGAGGATTATTCGGTCCTGTCGGTCGATGGCCTTCTGTGGTCGCCACGGTGAATTCCCGCTGGCCGACAAAACCCTGCATCAGCGGCAACACGAAACCATGGGCATCGACTGTGATAAATGGTTCCATGAGATGTCTATTCCAGAAGTACTGAACTCCAAGGTCAGCGAGGGTGATCGGACACAAGGACATGTTTTCGACCTACCAATTCGTCCACTACCTTGTGTAGTGGTAGATGGCTATTGTTGAATGCTAAATTTTGCCCGCCAATATGTCTAGTGAGGTCATAATCATACGCAAAGAAGAAATTATTCGAGGTAAAAAGCAACCTCGTGTAACGAAGTAATTTTGGCAACAATTCAATCATCGGATCGGTTAACGACAGCTGCCCTGCGCTCTGCCGTGTCGAAACGTCGACTTCTGACGCGGTTGCTTCCGCATTTTCCTTGTTCACGTTTGTGTCCACAGAATGTGCCGCCTTTTGATCGGCATCTTTAGACATGTCCGTAGGTTCCTGACCAACTGTACCAAATCCTGGTAATCCAAGGGTCTTCCTCGACAACCAATTCGCCGCAAAGCGTCCAAAACGTGCTCTCTTTCCGATCACATCTTCAGCAATACTGCTGACACTATGACCTCTAACATGAGAAGCGTCTCGGACCGGGGATGAGGGGACGGTGCCAACATCGAGATCCTCACTATCAGTCTCTAAATCGGATACACTCTCCTCTGAAGCCGTCTCATCTTGCCCACCTTCACCTTGCAAGAGTTGTTCTTTTGCCTGGGAAATTGCACGGCTAGCATCTTCCTGTGATGAAGTTGGAATGATGGCAACATTGGTAATAGTGTAAACAGGCTTTCCTTGGATTTGTGCAACTTGTTGGCGTTGAGTTATAGAAATGAGGAAGGAGTATGACGCAACAGTCAGAAGACCTTTGGTACCGTTCGGTCAACAACACAGAATCCGGTAGGACAGCAACAGCAAGCAATATGGGATAACGGGAGGTTATGAGGGTCAAAAGCCTACTCACCAACAAGGCCAAAAGCCTCCAGTCCTGAATCACGCTCATCTTGGTCCGCGGGGTATGTTGGTATGAATGAGACCTTGTTGGTCTTATAGTCAATCCGTATCGAGGAAGGTTCGCCGGTACCATTATGTCGCAGACCATTCCCGTGAAACTGAAGAATAAGTCCATCGACGGCAGCGAAGATATCCAGTTTTCGCAATAAGGCTGGCATGTCGCCGGTTATAGGTTTCGCGGAGGCAGAGAATCGCGCTAGCTTCGGGAACTGTGCAGGATGGGAGGCGATTAAATCCAGCGCAATTTTTCTTTCCTCTAGCCTGCATTATTCAATGAAACTAATGGCCCATACCGTCGTTCGCAAGAAACCCTCCGCAAGGCAAGAGTATGTCATGGGAATAAAATAACTAATGGAGGTTATGTAAGGTATATAGCTTAGCTTGGACAAGGACAGCTGATCTCCACTCGCTGACTTCATCGGCTCAGGTACCCCACGTTCCCCTCAATATTTATTTTATTTTTTTTTTCTCACTCTTCTTTCATTCTCTCTCTCTCTCTCTCTCTCTCTCTCTCTCTCTCTTTCTTTTTATGTTGATCCTTTTTAACAAGATGACTACCAACAAAATATTCCCAAATGAGTCAATGCACAATATCTATCTCAAAACCTGACAACGATGCGTATATACAAATCTGTTTGTCGCAGACAACCGTTCCTCTTCTAACCCCAGTCAAGGAGTTGGCCAGAAAGGCAAGGTGTGAGGGGGAAATAAAAATGAATAGAAGAAGAAACCAAAGGGAAAAAAATATATATATATAGAAAACTTGTCCAATTCAGTTCAAATGACTCATGAGCATCCCTAGTTCCTCAGCCTGGTATATTTTCTTGCGCTTCAAGAGAAGTAAAAGTACAATGCAGCCATAAAACAAGATTCTTGGGTCGAATGGTGGCAATAGCAACGCATGACCGAGTGGGGGGAAAACAAAAGAGAGAAAGGAAAAACGTAACAGCAGTATCCTTGTCGTAAATGAAAACCAGCAGATCAAATGAAGAAGAGAGACCGAGACCGTCATACTATCGCTCGTCATGCTTGTTGGGTTGATGGGAGGTGCGTTCTAGGTCGTCGCTTCTTTTATTTTTATACGTGGGGCCTGGCTCTCCGTCACTTTCTTCAGTTAACTCTGACAGCCCATAAGCTTGGTTCTCCACATCATAGGCGTGAATGAGGCCTTCACGGTCTCCATTGCCATTCAGGAAGGCAATGCTTGATGAACTTCGACGATGGGGCTCGTTGCTCCGACGGGACTGCATAGACCGGCGGGTTTGGAAGCTTGCAATTCCATCGGTTGGCACACCTTCATCATCTAGCTTGGAGTTCAGCATCTGCCGCCCATCCGGGTCATGTCGGGAGAGATTCAACAAATATACGCCGGAGAAGATGATGAGAAACCCGCAAAGCAACGAAATCGTGTTGACAGCGTCAGTGGTGTTGAAGCCCTTGAAAAGGATGAAGGAAGCGCACAATGTGGCCGTCGTAAACGTCACATAATAAAGGGGATTGACTCTAGAAGGGGGTTTTGTCAGCTGCGGTTGCGTTATGGCGCCAGCCTACTTACATCGAGGTAGAAAACTGGTTCAACGCCTTGTTGAAATAGTTCATCTGGGTGAGGATACAGAAAGCCGTGACGATCATGAAAACGTAGGTCGATGCGTGCGTAAATTGGTTGTGGCCACCAAGGGTAAGCTTCAAGGCAATGCCAAAAGCCTTAACGGACATGACGGAGACGGAACCGACGGTGGAACAGATCGAGATAAAGATGAGGGGATTCTTTTTGCCGTAGACCGGCGCAACTCGGTAGATCATGACGGTAGAGTAAATTGCGACAGCAAGACAATAGAGAAGAAATCCTGTTGTAAATCGATGTTAGTTGTACGTTGCGTGTTATTGGGATTGTACGTACCTGGTTGGAGGGCATAGTGCAGAATTTCTTCGATTGTCTCGACGGGTTTGTCCGGAGGCGCGTGAAGCACAATCACAACGGAGCCGAGCAGACACAAAGCACAGCCCATTTTACCCAATGTGCCCAATTTCTCATTGAGAAAGTAGGAACCGAGGACCGCACTTCACTTTCCATCAGCAAGTCGCACAGAAAACACTAGACCAGAGGACACCTCCTACCCTATTAAAACACTCAATGCGCCTAAAGGCGTAACGAGGATCGCAGGCGCAAAAGCGTAGGCTGCGAAGTTTGCGACTTCTCCAATAGCCACTACCGATCGCTGTCAGCTCCATATACCTTCTGTATATCTCTCTTTCTAAAGGCAACAGCAGGAGTGTTCGTACGTGTGATAACACCACCCCACCAAATCGGACTTTTCAAATATGAGAATCCTTCTCCCTCGAATCCATGTTGTTCGGACGCCTGCGTTAACCCCTGCACGCAATTGATTAGTTTCGAATCTCGAACCGAGGAAAGTATAGGCGGGCGGAGAGGAGGGACTAGTGGAAAGCGTGAACGAAAGCGAACGGACCTTTTTGGTAATAACAAAACTTGTGCCTAAGCATATGGTCAATTCTGGTCTTCGCATGAATATCCAGGAGGAATAAATACCTATTGCCATCGTTGATAGGATGGCCAAAATTAGGCCTATGTACCTGTACACAACGGAAAGACCGGTCAGAACACCATGGTCATGAGGCCCCTAGAATCAAACAATCAAGGGTATAACAGATAATGCATACTTATCGGAGAGCATATTGACGTATCTTAGGAGCTGAAGGCTCCCCCTGTTGTATGTACTCCAATGCTAGCAGTCGCCTTGGAAAATAGAATCGAAAGCGAAAATGGGGAAGAGGAATTGAGTCGTTGTTGGCTCTCGGTCGACTAGCCAAGCATCCGGGGCGCACCAACAATGAACGTCTCTATCCAGGAAGATGAAGAATTAACAGCAACACTGCAATAACTCCGGTGTAAGAAAAAGAATAGAGGTGGTTTCCCACAAGTTATTTGAGTGTCTGTTGGATTTAGTGACTTTCTGAAGAGTCGTTGGTCGAGAACTCCTGCGATTGAAAGAGAGCTTACCTGTCGGCCTTCCCTGATCGGTTCTAGAGGCTGGCCTGAGGTTGGCTTGGCTGCCTGCGCTCGTGCGGTGGGGGGGAATTTTTCCCTTCCCAGCAGACGGAACCGGACTGTTTTTGGACGCGTAAGTGGTTGGAGGCGATGAATAAAGAGCCCACAGTCTGCTTTGGAGAGGAGCCGAAAAAAAAAAAAATAATAATAAAAATAATATTACAAGCGTCGAAAAATGGGATCCTTGATTCCCTTATCCTTACTCTCTCGGAACATTGAAATCTAGTATACAACCCAGAGCGTCAACAGTGCAGAGAATCGAAATCAATACAGGACTCAATTCTACCCAATTAGTAGTTACTTATCCGCGCCACCATACTAATAATAGAGTGCCAACCTTGCGTACTACTATGGAGTAGGATATTGTTGCGATTACCATTGACTAAGAAGGATACCTATACTATGTACAGAAGTGGTTTTACTGTACAGAGTATAACATCATAAAAACGACTCCGTACTAAATGTCCGCATCGATGTACTATCTGTACCGTATGCATGCCCACTGTTAGGTAGTGCCCTTCTTACGGCGTGGATAGGGTAAACCATCATGGACTGGAATGGTCATACCCAACCTAGGTTCTGTAATGAAGGGCATAGGTGGCCACAACCCGCCACCCAATCACTAGCCAGCGCCCAACGCGCAAGCCCCTTGGTGCTCCTTGTTGAACCGTTCCTGTGTGTGTGATCGGCGTTTCACATCTTGGGGAATCTCATATATTGTCTAAGAATGATTAATTAATTTAATTTGTCAATCTGTTTCCCGGCGCTACTCCATACAGTGGTTACTGTTACCAGTCCCTGGAGAAAAATTGGTACCAGTATATTACACAAGATAAATAACAGGTCACTGCAAGTATCATGTGATATGATACGTTACCCTTGTTAACTTTCTTATCCTCTTTTCTTGTTCTTCAGTTCAATGTTGAAAATCCCTGTCATCATAAGAGCCTGGCACGAGGGCCTAATTAAACTGCCGAGGTATCCACTCCAGCCCCTCTGGAGATTAGCTACGTATCCCAGACGTCCAATATCAGAAATCCATGAATAATACAATATAACCTCCCACTGCCTCCTTCCAGAATCTATCACCAGCAACCCCTCACCTTAGAGGCCGTCCAGGCTATGAGATGCTTTAACTCTATGCATTGTCCCTGGACTACTGTAACCTAAAATCAATCTACTCGGATGGCAGGCTCCCTATTCGCACAATTAGTCACGTGACTTGTGGTTGACCTAGTAGGCATAGCCGTCGCCTTCAAGAAAAACCCTTGCATCGAACATTGAATTCCAAGTTGGTTGAACAGGGATCAGAATACGGAGAGAGGTATTACGGACAGGCTATAGCAGTCAATCAACATTGATACCTAGCATTATTTCTTTACTCCGTACGGCTGCCCGGGACACCCCGTCGTACAAACTCCCTTCGTAAATGTCCATCCACCTTATTCAGTCTCAAACCCCGAATCCTTCCGTGAATACAAAGACAGCGACTGCGAAATCCTCAGAAGAAACGCCGTAGATCAAAATGGAAACTTAAGATATCATTGTGCACCCCTGGAGAGGCAAGGGCCCGAATGGTTAATAACCCACGGCGCCGGTGCTGAACTGCTATCTGGGTATAGCGCTTTTGGTATGTGAAAACCTTACACGCCGTATAACGCCGAAACCGCCAAGTGGTATCACTTGAGCCAGAAGTCACAAGCAATGCAACAAAAGGGGGTTGAGATGTAAGGGCAGAGATCAAGTAACCTCAAGTCGAAATAATGTGTACAAACCTAAACTTACGAGTCGTTTTCGCATGGCGAGAAGGTTGAAGGTATACGTTGAAGAGTATACCTCGAGAGAATGACGGAATTATGAGGGTGATACATACCTGGTGCAGTGAAGTGCTTGTCAAACTCGGAGCGCCGGATAGATTTTGTTAGTAGTTAGGTCATAGTTACTAGTTGACCCTAACGGAAACAATACTGTAATCAGTATGAACCGAAAGGTGCAGTGGCTGGTTAGAAATCCAGCAACAGCCCACATAGCCCAAAATAGAGGTCTAGACTAGAGGAAAGTGAGAAACGAGTAACGCTGGAGATCATGATGACCTGGAACGTTTAGCGTCCGGAGTAGGACTCTCGGCTAGCTCGAACTCGTCTTCCGGCTCGCGGTGTCGTTTAGTAGATGCTAGACCGGGCGAATTTATGCCAGGTTCCTCAGTAACACCTAGCTCTTCTGTGATTCCCAGGTCCAGATAGTCTTCCTCCTCGTCAAAGGGCAACTCTTCGGTTTCCTGGTTGGTATGATTTGATGTAATATGCCCGGTCATATCATTAAATTCCTCAGGCAGCTCTGCGTCCTCGATATCATTGTCCGCAATCGCCGAACCTTGAGTAGGACTATTCAGGATGTCCTCTGAGATGATTAATGAGTCATCGGCCAGGTCGGGATTGGGTTGAACATTGTTTCCTGACAAATCTGAGCCAGTGTTATCCACTTTAGGCAAAGCATCACTCTTATCGCCCTGCAATGTCTCTTCGGTTTCATCGTCTTGATGTTGAGTCACAGCGCCCTCGGCCTTGGATTTGTTGTCTTCATCAAGTTCTTGCGGAGATTCCTCCCGAAGCTCTTCTGTGGTTGACTCAGTTGCATGGTGATCATGTCTATGATCAGAAGCATCGCCCTCAACCTCCTCAGAACCGTCATTGTGATTGGTATTGATCGGGATGTTTCCCTCTTCGGGGTAACCTTCGTCGTTGGTGCTCCCCGGTGCATATTGTTCTTCATGGATATCGTGGGCTTCGTGATCATCATGTGGAACATCCGTAGAGCCGTCAGGATCTGGTTGCTCCTCTGTTAGATCAGTTGCCGACAAATTAGCGATGGTAGCAGTCGATTCTGTATGCTGCCCCTCCTCAGAGTCATACAATTCTTCATTTAGTGACTGGAGATCGTGAAGCTCAGGGTTCTCCAGTTCTGGTTGAGTGGGAGCCTTAGTCTCACCATCATCGCCGGTATCTTCAGTAATACCACCCGATAGATCAGCACCTGCATCATCATCACTTTCGGGATTTTGTTCATCCGGTTGGGTCTCCCCAGCTTGCTGCTCTTCAACATCCGACTCGTTTCCATGGATTTCCTGCGACTCAGAGGGGTGACGCTCATGCTGGTCAGAGACGCCTTGCTTTTCCTCGGCGGAGTTCGCTTCCTGATCGTCCCCTTCAAAGATCTCTGCTGAAGCTGCTTCCACTTCTTGATAACCATCCCATGAATGGATTTCAGACAACCCTTTTCCTTCGCTGGCAGCTAGGAGAAGGTCAGACACTTCCGCAGGTATAGTCAGTTTTGTGTTGAGAGTGAGATAAAGCGGTTCAGGTTCATCAATGCCATCATTGTGGCACAACTGGAGATACAGGTCGACAATCTGGTACAAAGTCACCTTTGATATATGTAAAGAATCCTGGTCCAAGAGTCAGCATTTGTACAATAAATAATGATAGAGTGACGAACCTCAGTAAGTTGAATGTTCAAAGCGTCAACATCCATAACGAGAACTTCATTGTCTCCAACATTGTCCTGGAGCACTCGACGGCAGGACTGGAAGAGCTCCCCTAACGGTGTGTATGCGAGATTCTCATCTTCGAGGAAAAATGTTTCGGAGGAGTCACCCTCCTGGGGAGGAAATAGCGAGATTTCGTTGTCTTGGTAGTACACTCTCACAGGGTACAACGAAGAACCCTTAGTCGTATCCTGCTCTTGCTCGTCGTGTTCCGCAAGTTCCGTCTCCTGCCCATGAGACCCATCTTGTCCCATGTCACGTTCTGTGGTTTTCCTTTCTTCCGGCTCCAGTTCTTTGTTCTCGTCCGCTGTTTGCCGGTTTTCACCTGCATCTTCTTCATGAACTTCGGCGCTTTCGGCGCCAGCTATATGATCTTTATGATCACCAGGAATATCGTGTATATCTGCTTGTTCTGGTTGGTTAGTGTCAATGACGTTATTATCCACATCCGCAGACTCGGGCTGGTCCACTTCGGCCTCCTGGGTAATGTTGTCTTCAACTTGATGATGGTACTCCGGGGAAACTTCTTTCGGTGCCTCATCTTTGGGGTGCGCGGATTCGGCGTTATTCTCGGGGCGCGCTTCCACAGTGTGGTCTTTGCTAGTGGCTTCATCGCTATCATTTTTTTCCGTTAAGATGTGTTTTGATGTTACTTGATTATCCGCTGGCTCAAGGGATGCCGGGGCTTCTTGAAATTCTGGTACAGGGGCTTCTGGAACAGGGGCATCAATGTCTTCATCGTAATCATCTTCTAGCATCTCCGCCTCATAGACCTTCTCGGTGCCGTACTGCATCTCGACACTGTAACTTGTCTCTGCATACTGATCGTCCACATCAAGCATGGCCGGTTCGGCGACCTCATCTATCATATCCGCATCGTTTGGGTCGTCCTGTTCATATTCTGTTCCATGTGGAGCTTCTTCATATTCGTCGGCTCCCATCATATCTTTGTCGGTGTTTGAGGCTTGGTCGTCCATGACATCGAGGTCGATGTCAAAATCATCGGCATGCCCCTGGTAAGGCGAAGCCATCTCCATCGTGTCATCGACGGCAGGGGGTTCCATTGCAGAATATGCTAACGAAGAGGCTGTGGCCATGGCATGAATGTATTAAAAAAACAACGGGTAAGGGGAATCGCGGAAGATTTCAGCGTGACGTCCCAGCTGTCAAAGATTGGAGTTCGGATAAAGGTGTGCCTGCTACGCTTACTAAGGAGAAAAGAAAGTCTCAACCAACACGTAAAGTAGAAGAGATAGAGACCCTTTCGGCAACCGTCAGTGTGAGAGAATAATGAAAGATAACAAGGAAAGGAGATAGAGGTGGGTGACGGGTTGGCGGGTTGTTAGACGTGTAGAGGTCGCCAGCAGCAAAGTTAGGCTCTCTCTGTCTCCCTCTTGTGCTGTGGTAAGCGAGGGGGTAGCGCTGTGCACGGGCCAACGGAGAGACAGAAGTGAACAGCAAGCGGCTCCGCCGCTGGAGTGGAATACCTGGCATTGCATTCGGTCACAGTCTGGACACGCTTTCAGACAATCGGTCATTCCACTGAAGCTGCCATTTTGCTCGACTACCATCGAAACGGATTTAGGCCGCTTATTATACAGTCATGGTTTGTTACCTTTTTTAGTGATCCCACTAAACCTTGCTAACCATTGTCAACACACAAACACAGGTCGTACTCGCAGCGTCCATATGCACCCGCGGGGGTAAAGCAGTTCTTTCGCGCCAGTTCCGTGAGATTGCTCGCTCCAGAATCGAAGCTCTGCTCGCATCCTTCCCGAAACTGGCAGATTCTGGCACCCAGCATACCACCGTTGAACAAGACAATGTCCGTTTTGTGTACCAGCCCCTGGATGAGCTATACATTGTCCTGATTACCAACCGTCAATCCAACATTCTTCAAGACATTGATAGCCTCCACCTATTCGCCCAAGTTACTACCAGTATTTGCAAGAGCTTAGACGAGCGGGAAATTTTGCGCAATGCCTTCGAACTACTCAGCGCATATGACGAGCTGGTGACACTGGGGTACAGGGAAAATCTGTCGCTGTCGCAGATCAAGACTTTCTTAGAAATGGAGAGTCACGAGGAGAGAATTCAAGAAATCATTGAACGGGTAGCTATCTCTACTAGGCAAGTGGCTGGTTGCTTGCTGACATTACTCTGTAGAACAAGGAACTCGAGGCGAGCGAGGAGCGCAAAAGAAAGGCGAAACAGCTGGAGATGCAGCGAAAGGAGGCAGCTCGTACCGGTCGTGCTATGGCTCCACGCACCCCGTCCTATCCTGTCTACACTCCCCCATCGCGACCTGCCGTACCCGATACGTACGATTCTTATGAAGCAGAGAAGAAGAAGTCATTTGCCAAGTATGTGTCTATATATTGTTACCTTTGTTACAGGAACTAACAAGCGACTTTTTTTGATCAGGCCATTGCCAACCAGAGGGAAGGGCATGCAGCTCGGCAAGAAGTCAAAAACCACGGATATATACGAGAAAGTCCGCGGCGATCTGGGCCCTGAAGCTGAGGAGTCTAGCCCTCTAGTGACCCCGCAAGCTTCAACTCCTGTCATCGGGGAGACTTCGTCTGCTCGCGCCTCTCTCTCTGCTGACCGGGATCCTGTTCACGTAACTATTGCAGAAACAATCTCTGCCAATCTCACTCGTGAAGGTGCTCTGAAATCCTTCGAAGTCAAGGGCGACTTACAGCTCCGCATCTCCGATCCGTCGTTCACCAAACTCAAACTTGACCTTGCCACCAACCCTACTCATGGAGCTCAGTTCCGTACACATCCAAATGTTGATAAGGCTGCCTTCACCGACTCATCTGCCATTCAACTAAAGGATTCGACCAAGCGATTCCCTGTTAATAACTCAATCGGCGTCCTACGTTGGCGTGTCGCTAGCTCTGATAATGCCGATATGCTCCCTATCACCTTCACCGTCTGGGTGAACAAGGGATCCGATTCCACTACAGTCACTGTTGAGTACGAGCTGACTGGGTCGGACGCTCTGCGTGACGTTGTTGTGACTATTCCATATGGCGAAATAGAACCGTCTGTATCTAGTTTTGATGCTGTGTACGAAGTGACCGGAGATAGCATCGACTGGAACATCGGAACAGTGGATGAAAGCAACGCGTCTGGTAGCTTCGAGTTTGAATCTACCGGCGATTCTGATGAGAACGTTTTCTTCCCGATGAACGTTCGTTTCTCCAAGACGAATCCTTTCGTTGAGGTTGATGTTACTGCCGTCTCCCTATTGGAAATGGATGGCGAAGAAACCGGGTTCAGCAAGGAAGTGAAGAGCATTGCAGATGGTTATTTGATCAAGTAATACCGTTTTGGGCGTATAGAGTACTAATGATGTTCGGAATGCCTTTTTAAGATTTTATCACTGCAAATTTCCTCTAATTCTGTTGACCAGGGCTCCTTTGTTCCTATATTCTCAATTCAAATTATCATTCCCTCCTAGTTGTCTATATGAGGATGGTAAAGTCGGTGTACACGGTTTAAAACCAAGGGAAGGGCGTTATTACTAGCATTTTTGGGGTCGACTTTTGGGCATAAGCGATCTATACCGAGATCATATTTCCACATACCTAGGTTTACTAAAGGGGCAAGTCTGTTCCAACCATATATTGCCCCCTACTGAACATCGGTCACTAAAGAAACACAGAATCTTAATAGAAAGTCCATAGGGTTATGCCTCTGAATTCCTTTATTTTCCTTTTCCTTTGATCTTTCTTGGTGTGTTAAAATTTATTTCAATCTTCGTAGGACGACAGGAGAGCACATGAAACGATAAGTTGTTTTTGTCTTTTTACTATGCGGTAACTTTTTAGTCACCTGCCGTTGATGTTATTTGGTTGTATTCCCATCTTCACATTACGTCGTACTTCTCGATCTTGAACACCTCTTGATTTTGAACAGTCGGCATTCTACTGCAACCGATACTAATATTGGGGTATGTACGCATGGGCGAGAATGAGACAATTAACCCCCGCTGACCATGGCTCTCAATCGAATGGATGTCGTCGAAGCTGGGTCATTCGGATGTAATGAAAGACGTCAGCAGCGATAGACACCCTCTCGACGGGGCGGAGCCACGGAGGACAAGGCTGAAAAAGGAATAAACGACTCTCGGCTCATGCTTAGCGTATACAACACTCTGTCAATCCCGTCATTGATTGATCTTCCAGGCTCTCCGTGCCCCCAACACTCCGCCATGGATGGTCAGCCTTCCGGTGAGGAGGTGCAAACTATTTCACATGAGCCACTGGTTATTGGATCACATCTAAAGTATGGTAGCCAGGGGTCGTAGGAAGCTGTTGGGGTATTCTCCCCTCTTCCACGCCACTGGTCATCCCCTTGACGATCAGGTGGGGCAAGTCAACGGGGTATCTCAGTCAACCAAGGCATGATGGTTGTCATTTCCACTACCTACTATTGTACGTATGTCTTGCTAACCTTACCTTCGGCCGAAATATCAAAACTAGGCCTGTCAAGTTTCCAACCAGTCATGTCAACTATGGATCGCCCCGTCACTTCAATATTTCTGTTCACTTAACCTTTGACCTCATCTAACAGCAACATCAAAGTTGCATCCTCGCATAAGCATTACATGTAGGGACAAGACGGAAAAGAGTGGTTCTAGACCATGTTCAACCAGCCCTGTGAGAGGCTCTTCCGATGAAAATGGGCATACGGCTGAAATGGTGGAAGCCAATGAGATCGTGCAGGGAGGCTCTAGGTGTGACCGATCAACCCTACTCCACTACATGTCACACTGGCTCCCCTGCACGGCGTCTAAGGCGACATTTGGGCACGATGGATATCCCCTGTCAAGTATCAACCGCCACCCGGTTAAAGAGACCCAGTGGTTTTATAGGAAACAGCCTGATCGCCTTATTAGGTATCGGCGGTGAACATCCGGTTCCCCGATCCATCTAGAACTTAACTGACGCGGACTTCTATACCATTGCAACTGCGCATTATGCGTTTCAGATATCCATGAAAATGTCTCTGGGAAATGACCCCCACATGGCGCTCTGCCATTCTGAGAAACTTTTTCATCGTTATTTGTATTTTTGGGGGGTTTCATTTCACTTTTGACTTCCTTTCCAGGATATGTTGTGAGTCGTGTCTCAGGTGCCATCTTTATAATGGCGACATCTTATAAGATGATTCTTCCTAAGAAGCCAAAACAACTTGATCGAAAGCAGCAAACAATTTCTGGTGCGCATAGAAGTAAGAACCTTATTTGCCTAGGTATGCGTATCTTATATATTGACTTTGCAGTGAAGCCTTGGTACTTGTCCTGTTTGCTTAAAATATTTCTTTTCAATTCTCCGATATATCCATGTCGCTTTGATTACACGATGATTAACCTGCAGTTTCTCTCCTGGAAAGAGCAACCTACTATGTTCAGTGCATTTTCCTCTGATGCTAAAAGCCATAGCCATGGGGTATGATCTGTCTCTTCGAGCACTAAAGCAAATATCCTACTTTCCGTCCGTGTTCACGTCTTTATGCTCCTAATAACATGCAGGACACTCCAATGGCCCCGCCATCCACACACGACATCGATCATCTTTTGGCTAGCAGGAAAATGGCCATACCAAGGCTGGCAGAAGGAACCGAGTCTGTTTTTACCTCGCCTGGGAGGTTCCATCGCCGGCATGTTAGTCGAGCATGCGAATCCTGCAGGCAGAGGAAAACAAAATGCACGGGGGATAAGTCAGGCTGCCGAAATTGTAAGGAGGCAGGAATCATATGTTGTTATACTGATGGCAAGCGAGAGAAATCTAAAAGGTTAGTGGCTGAGTTGTTTGATTTTATTCCCTACTTCTTTGGTGCCTTGAACATGCCAACATTCACAAATCTCTTCCAAAGACAGATGGCTAGCTTAGAAGGAAAGATACAGGCCTATGAAAATGTCCTTAGAAAGCTGAGCAGTCGATTCGGTATCTCTGACGAGCAGTTGATGAGTTTTGCGCTGGCAGTGGGTGCGAATACCCCTTCCCCATCCCTCTGTACTAAGTGAAAGCAGGAATCGGCTGCTGCATCTACGGCACAGCCTGATGCATATGCCGCTACATCTGAAGACAGGAAGTTCTTTTGGGTTTTGGGCTCAGAGCCATATCTTTCAACTACTTCGCTTGGTACCCACATTGCCGACCATACCGAAGAAGATTTTAACAAGGACGACTTCACACGGGCTACGGGTTTCATTGGTGAAAGCTCAGAGATATCATGGCTGCAGATGCTGAGCAAATATATGGACTCTGGGTGCGAGATATGTCATCCAACTTCTGATATATCTTCACCGGCTTTGACATCCTCCTGTGATGGGCCGATAGCTTCGTCAAGTTATCACCTTGACGACTTCGATATGCCTACTGTTGAGCGACTTGACACATCTGAGCTCCCATCTAAGGACACTGCTACAAAGCTTTTCAATGCGTACTTGAGTTCTGTACATCCGTCATTTCCCATAATCGGAATTTCGACATTTGCATCACAATTTCAAGCTTTCTTCAATAACCCGTCTTTGAAGCCAGGAAACAAGTGGCTTGCCATTCTGAACCTTATCTTTGCTATTGGTGCAAGATATGCCCATTTGACCAATGCAGAATGGAGAAGGGACAGGGATGATCATTATCTATACTTTATAAGAGCGAGAAACATGAGTCTCGAGGGCCAACTGCTACACCATTCTGACCTACAACAGTTACAGGTTGAAGGGTTGGCGTCGTTCTATATGCTATCATCTGGCCATATAAATCGGTATGCTTGCCTTGGATATCTGCGTTTTGAATGTAAAGCTCGCCACGCTTACAGATAGATCCAGGTCGTGGAAGCTCTGTGGCAGTGCTGTGCGAAGTGCACTGAGTCTTGGGTTGCATTTACGCAATACAGGGAAATGCACTTCCGATACATCTAAGGAAATAAGATACCGTGTATGGTGGGCTTTATACACACTCGAGCATCGTCTCAGTGTGATGACAGGCCGACCGTCCTGCATCATAGATGGCGCTTGTACGACCCCTCTGCCTGTTCCTTTCGATGAGAGTGACTTCCGCAAAGAACAGGTAATGCGCCTCATAAACCGTTCCACACTGGAGGGTCTTAGCCAACTCGGGCCCGCCTCGAATTCTTCACCCAACACAGACCTTAGCGACACAGGTAAAGGGACGGAGAGCGCAGATGTAAACGCCACTGCCCCGTGCAAGTCACTGTACTTCCTTCAGTTTATAAAATTGACTTCAATTGCAAAAAGGATGACAAGCAAGCTCTATAGCCCTGACGGAGTGGGAAAGCCTTGGTCCAGTATGGAGTTTGCGATACGAGGACTCATGCTTGATCTTGATTCATGGTCTATGAATCTGCCCGCTGCTTACGACTTTACCTCAACACACACCTCACAAGGCTCAGCAACCCACAGAATGAGTCTGGCTCTCACATTTTACAGTACGAAGATTGGGATCACAAAGCCATGTCTTCGCCGTATAGAGCCAAGTGCACTTGGTGATAAATCGGAAGACTTTTGCAGAAAGGCTGCAGTTGAATGTGTAGAATCAGCTTGCCATGTGTTGAGATTGTTTCCCGAGCCTTTGGAAGCGGCATTGCTTCACAAATTATCTCCTTGGTGGTGTGTTTTGCATTTCCTTATGCAAGCAACGGCCGTCTTGCTGATTGAGCTTTCTTTTCATGTTCAACACGTCCCTGAAAAAGCGGCTATGGTGTCAAAGGCGGCTAGAAAGTCCTACGATTGGCTCTCAGTTATGTCGGAGACTAGTATGGCCTCAGAAAAAGCTCGGAGGATCTGCGATGAGTTCCTGCGCCGGCTTGGCTTCAACGGCGGCGCTGAGATCCACAGCTTCCCTTGTATAGCGGGCTTTACAGAACAGAACTCGCCTGGTGACGAACCTGACGATTCACACCCCAGACTCACAAGCGTAGCCACCCCTGATGGCCTTCCAGGCGGAGTAGGCTCTATGCCATTATCACCGGTAGACCATTCCAGCGTCGCTTTTGCCCGGCCATCGTCAGTTGGCCTGAAAGTCCCGGAGACACAAGAAATTGAGCAAGATGAGAAAACTCTCGCTGTACACAATTTTTATGACGCCTATTTACCCTACGACCCTAACACGGGGCAAATAACCGGTTCTTTTTTCCCTCCCGAAGATGATATTGACATCGGACTGGGGCCGTATCATTGGGATGAAACGATGGGCTGACCACTAAGAATCCCCACTGATTTCAAATGGCCCAGGATAGCACAAGGGGCCTGTCGAAGAAAGGTCTTGCTTAGCGAACACGAATCTTCAAAGAGCTTCTGCAACACACGCTGTCTTTCGCTAGTCTCAGATACTTGATTACAAGCTGCTGTCGATTTAGCTATTTAATGTTTAATGACCCTCTTCCGACACTCTACAAATGGATGACGACGATGTTTTGTCCGTCGCCCGTTCACCTGCACAAGTGACAGGTACAATGAGAAGGATTCTAAACGAATGGCTCACCGAAAGCAATGAAGGAGAAAGAATATCGTTATGAGCCTAAAACACCTGCGAGAGAGATCAACAAAGCATAATTCACCACCTCGTCACATAGTTAGCATTGAGATGAGGTCAAGTCGATAAGGACTCACTCCTTCCCAGAATAGATTCACTATGGCATTCCCAACACTCGTTTCCAAGCACAAAGCCAAAACAGCCTATTGAGCCACACAATGTTTCCCTAGCCACGATCCCTCATTACTACTCAATGTACGTTTTTTTGCTTGGTTTCGCTGGACTGCAAGCTTACTGCCGTTCGATCTTCTCAGACACGATGTCAATACCCTCAAACTCTTTCAAAAAGCCATAGTAGTACTGCGCAATCATACAGCTTTTTACTCCTCAAGTGGATGGAGCACAGACAAAAGAGCAAGAAAATGATGATAAAGCAGGGAAGATAAAGAAAGGGCTAAGGAGATCAGAGCACGTATAATGTGCTACATGAGAACTTCTCTTGACAGCCGAATAGATCAAGGCCTCGTTCCCAGGAAGGGTAAGGTGCCAAATCTCTTTGTGATGTCCAATGTGCTGGCCATCCAATCCCGGTCCATTAATTGTGGTGAGCGTTGATGCTTTCTCCAGCCTCAGAATATCTTGAAAAGCAGTTTTTACTTGTTGTATGGTTAAGACTATTGTTGCCGCAAGGCACTACCTGTAATAATGTCAGAGAAAAGCGTGTTCCCCTTTGTCTTCCTGGCATATCAATTGACTGTCCATCACTTCCTTCGAACACTAAAAGTGTTAAGTCCGTTCGTCGCCAAAGCGACATAAATATATACTTCATGCATTTATACACCCAACAGTAGAAGTAACGCCCTAAGGAGATATGCAAGATTGCCTATACAAACTCGACGTAGTCTATGCCTGTATTTACCAACCATCATGTCTTCATAACAACAAAACCACACAGGCAGACAGAATGGCAACATAATAATAAACCTCAAGGACGCAACACCCGAGACCAATGTTCAGATCAAGCTTCCCAGTTTCTCTTCTTCGCTGTAAAAAGCAAACGAGCATTTTCTTCCTGGGAAGAGGACCGTGATAAGCCCGAGGACATGGCCGGCACAGAACTGATTCTGGACAGATGTATGTCGATGACACGGGCTCTTCGAAGTGACCGATTTGCCCACGAGCTGGACGAGGATGGCCAATTTTTGTTATCCCAGTCTTGTAGCTCAATGCCTAGTAAGCCTCTACCATCGCCCACAAACCGCTCTATACAATCCAAAGGTGGAAGGAATCGGCGTCGCACGCCACAGCCATTGTGATTTGTATCGATCTGATAATCAGGACACTGTTTGAGCGAGGAGATTATTGTAGTTACGTCACTTGGTGCTCCAGCGGGCTGGGGCCGTTCTGATGTGTCCTCATCTTCAGACTCGAAGCCAAAATCTGGGTCTATTAAGGTAGATCCTAAAAATATTGTCTTCGTGCGCAGTGTGAAAAAGCGAGTCATTTGACCCAGGTGAAAGGCATCACAGGCACTGGAATTGCCAAATCCACACCGGCATTGATACTGTCGAGATTGGACGGCAGTTGCTGCGACCGATACGGTGGTCGACTTAGGGCCCTCTGGTTCCTCCAATGCGCCGAAAGCGCGGAGAAAGTACGCTTGGAGATCCGTAATGGTATTCAAAACGCATTGTCGTCTATAGTATAATTCTTCTGCAGACCCTTTTAGCATCTAAACACAACATGCTTATATAATGATAAATGAAAGCTAGATTTACCTTCTAGACCATCGGAAAGATACCGCCAGCGGACGGTAGCTGAAGTAGGTGGTTCCACACCATTTATCCAAAACTTTGACCCAGTAAGGATCAGCGCATGCGTCCATATTTGGAAAATGGTATACTCATTAAGAAACCTCGCTATGAAGATCGTTTGCCGAATACGGTCCTCACTCATTCTCAGTACCGAGGAATCGAACCTCAACAGGGGGACTCTTCCTTTCCCAAAAGCATACCTGGACCTTTTCAAAGCATCCCGGATGACATAAGGAGAGTTGAAGGCATCAGATAACTCTACCAACCTAGCAACTAATGACGTAGGTTGGACTCTGAGCTCCCCGTCGAACTTGGCTTTCTCTGCTTCATCAAATGAGTTGAACGATAGCACTCGAAGGAACAGTTCAATAGCATCTACACCAAGCTGTTGTGGGAGATGATCCACCGGCAGCCTGACCGTTGGCAAGGTATACTGGATCGAAATATCATCAGATAAAGATTCTCCGCCCTCAGCAGTGGTACCCTGGCTCCACTTGGCCTTCTGTTGGATGAAATCCCTGCCTTCAGAAAATTTATCGGGGTCAAACAAGGCCCGAAAGTAGGGACTGTTCCTCATAAGATCGTCACTTAAGACCTGCCAACGGTGACTAGCGTTTTTAGGAGAAACAGGAGGAGAGCTGTCTGGGGGAACGTATTCGATAATCACATCCCCGGTGCTTAATAGAACTTTTACAGCTGGCTGAGCTCCAATCAAAGGAGTCTTTCCCCCTTTATGATTGTTAATAATAGCAGAAACCTCCCCTATCAAATGAGAGCAGGGGGAATCGTCCTGAGTATCGCGAAGCCCCAGTGTTTGAAGCGAAGCTCCTATTCCAACTGGTAATGAGGAATGACTTGGCTCCATGACATGTAAGTTCAGGAGGTGAAACTCTGTATATAGGCCCTTTCCACACTACTCACGTCACAGTTCTGAAAGCACATTGGAATTGTAGAATTGCCTATAATCTTGTTTCTCATCGATATTAGTGGAATGGTAGTGGCTTGTGTTGTTATTCGGATGCCCCTCTACACGATTATGAGAGCGTCGTATATTCACCCCATATGAAGAGACTATAGACACGTGCCTATGTGCATTCTAGTACGCGTAAGCGTGTTGCGACTCGATTATGGCGAGAAGTTGGATTTAGTGGTGGGGAACTGAAATCATCGACGAACGTTGCCTCATTGGGAGATGGCGTCATGTGATGATGCACCTTCCGAAAATGGCATTGTGTATCAACCCTGAGAGGTGCGGTTTCTAATGGATAGTTTCACAGGACAAGGACAATTGTCCATTCAACAAGATACCTTTTGTACCGGAAATCGTAATATACAGTACGTCTATTGTCACATTAAAATAAAGAAAGTGTGTAACTTCAATCAACTTGTACCTCACCATGAGTCCAACTCCGTAATCACGATAAAAAAAAGAAAAGAAAAGAAAAGAAAAGAAGAAATTTCTATTGATGGAAGGAAGAAATGCGCTATCGAATCACCCAGTAACAAACGCAACCCAAAGGGAATGTGAAAAAGAGATAGAAGGATAAAACGCCGAATATTTAGCAGCCTCTCTTAAGGCAAAGATACAACAGGAATGTGCAGGATCTCGTATTCATTCCGGTTACTTGTGCCGGTATGCCCGTTTTGCTTGTCCTTGATAGACGCTTCTCGAAGCTTTAATGCATGCGCCATGCTGTAGAAAAGCTTCAAGGACGGTAGATCCGTGGTGTCCGCCTGGGACGCCTCCATCGCAGACCAGCTCATTTCATCCATTCCATTCCCCTCGTCATGATCCTCAAGATCAGTGTTCCCTATGAGGCTGAGCCTTGGGGGAACATGCGAGAATAGCGCCAGACAGGGCTGAGGCTCCTCCTCATCTGAAGCATAGGGACTAGGTTGTTGTTGGTCTTCTTCGTGCGCCAGAGACTCGGTGTCGAAGATATCGTTTCTTTGGGAAACAAGATGCCATAGCTCACCACATATAAATCCAATCACAAAATCTTGATTCGCGCGAGCTGCGGCCAAACAACTCTTTCTGTAATCGGATTTGAAAGAGGAATCGGTAGTGGACGGCAGACACAGGACAAGGCCACGCGCTAGAAGAGGTGGAGGCGGAATATCCTCATTGATAACAAATAGACTTGAGGTTGCGCTCTGGAAGCTTTCCTTCCGTTCGTAGGCTCCAGAGTCCGTATGCGATTCCATTACATCCTCCGTATGCTGTGTGATTGTCTGGGTAAGAGATATAGTCGAGGCTTTTCGGGGAGGAAGTCCTAGACCGCTGGTATCGCCAACCGCATACTCAGAAAGATGTGAAGTAGCATCATTATCGCCGAAAGCTATTGATTCATTGCCAGTGGATGGACGTTCACTTGGGTTGTTGGCTGTGATTTCTGTCTTAATGGTCTGCACCGCGTCCGCCACAGCCTCTCGAGCGGCAGCTTTCAGGGTCGGGATCAAAATATCCGCCTCTTGGTTACCCACTGCCACCCCTGAGGCCCATGCGGTTCCCAAAACAGCCCACGAAGCTTCCTTTATCACACCTTTCGTGTACTTCTTCCGTATCAAGTCCACTAGTTGATTCTTCACTTCTCTTGACTCGGTTTTCTGTCTGCCAACAATATCGACGGTAGCATTGAGGATGCGGCCAGATTCCCACAGCAAAAATCCATGTTTCTTGGCTAAGGAAGTCAATTGGCGAGCTGTCTCGTCGGACCAGTCGTCGATAATATCCGCATGGATCTGGAGAATGGCAATGTGTGGACCAACGGACGATGCTAGTTGAAGTAGAGCATCTGTGGTGGTGACGGTGTGGGCGGGAGACACGCAGACAGGAAGACCAAACGGCAATCCCTTCTTAGCCGTTGCTAGGGTCTGCAGGTAGGAGATTAAACGATTTCCGAGGAAGGAAGGGGATTCGAACGTTGAGCCCTCCATTATTTATGGAGGATTTGGAATAACCGCGGGGGGGAGGGGGGAAATGTATGTCGTTCAAGAAACGGGGAGAACAATGGGGAATTGCCTTCTTCTTTTAACCTGAGAGCTTGGGGCAAAGTGAACCAGAGAAGTTGGCCCTCTTGATGAAACTAAACCTGTACTAACGTCGTTGGCGTCTAAGCAAATAAAATGGTCCAGTCGGTCGAGACAAAATGATTGACGGAAGGCTTTTAGGAACTCCACTTTTTCTGACAGTTAGTCCGTTCAGGTAAATCGACAAGGGGCAAAAGACCCAGTGTTGTGGTTATTTTATCTCCTAGGCAAACTCAATCGAGTCAGCTAATTGTGCCTCGAGGACGTTGTTGGTAGATTCGTTGGGGTGTTGATCTTTTATATTCCGACAAGGTAACACCTGTCACGTAAAAAATAAAGAGGGAGAGAAAGAGATGAACGGAGACAAAGGGAGAGAGGGAGAGAAGAGGGGGAAAAGGAGAATGATTCCGAACTGAAAATAGGGATTTCCGACATGGCGTATCTCATGCGTCCCTTCTCTTCCTCTTTATCTTTTTTCTTTTTTTCTTCTTTTCTTTTTTCTTTTCTTTTTTTTTTTTCCCTCTCTCCCTTTTTCATTGTGGACTTACTTTTTTGGACGAGTCGAGTGTGTTGTGCGTGTTTACTTTTTTGCTGGTATGCATTCATCTCAGGGTCACGCTCACTGATTCACTGAAGATCGTCTAATGGTGGACCGTTTGGAGGATCTCCGACGATTCTCCAACCAGGTTATTGTAATCACAATACTCCGTACCATCGGTTGTGGTCTCCCCATATTAAGGGGGAGAGAACGGTTAAGATTCCCATCTAACCGGTACAAGTTCCCTCTAAACCATACTAAGCTGTACCATCATTTACACTAAGGCCGAAAGGGGAGAACAGGCTGAGAGACCGCTTACGGAGTATGCACTAATCTCAATTTTTGTCCGAAACTTCCTTTGACCGCCTACCATATGGGCTCTAGTTGGCGACTTGTCCTTCGGCAGGAGTGCTCCGTAGTCGGCCTCTTAACCCTAAAGTCACCATGTCGCTAGACCGAGTTTGGCATATGGGAGGGTTTTTGGGGCGTACCACTGCCAGTACGAAAGAGAAACAACGCCCTTTTAAGTTCTTCCGGGTACAGATGAACCGCGGTACAGGCGGAGTGGAAATATTAACAGGACGAATGAGAATCGAAAGAGAAATGAGGCTGAGAGAGACAACTTGAAGTTCCTTCCGGTATGACCGCAAGCCTCAGTCAGCTACCCCGGGGCAAAGCTGAATCCGGATTCTGAGAAAAGTCTATCTACTCAGCCAGCCCCGCTGAAGTTCGGCCGAAGGTAGAAAAGGTCTTGATTGGATTCACCTTCGTTGCCCTCGGCGGAGAGTGACCGACAATGTCTGGTATTATGGAGTAGACCTTGATTCTTTTTGTCCTTGGAGGGCAAAAACGTTGGGTGTCTTCGACATAATCAATCAGGATCCGTCGATCTACCTCTGGGTTAAAGCTATGCTCCCTAGCCTTCCTATAGTGGTAAAAGGTTGCATGTCAACCCTTGCCCATGACGGCTTGAATATTGGCAAATCCCCACCCCATGCATGAGGGAACGCAAGGATCCGGACGCGGACCCCAAGATGATATCGTCCATGCGTTTCCGATCGAATGCATGGTACATAATTAAACAGATGCACTCGATACATACATACCGGGTTGATAAATCTCCAAGAAAGGATCAGAAAAGCCTCGCAAAGCCTCGAGGACGTTCATTCTGGGCCTCAATAATTGTGTTTATTTTTGTCTGCATGTTGATAGGTTCCCGAGTCCTCACACTTACTCTTAGCTACATATGAAAAGGTATGGAACACTGCCGTACCGCCAAGGCACTAAATTCCACTAGCGCTCTGTATTGGCCATTGCAAATGCAAATCAGTTGTATCAGGGAACCAGACCACAGGCTAACGGCCACCCCTAGCCATCAAGTGCTGGAAATCCGTTGGATTACTCAGGCCCCTATGAGGCTCCCTATGACAAGTCGACCAAATCCTTTCACTTGACAAGTTAGGCGCTTGGACAACCATGCAGGAAATGACCTATGCTTAATCTAGACCCAGAGCTTATGCTTGCTTTTGCTGATGTACATTACTACATGTATCTACTCTGAAATTACTCCTGGTTTTTGCCGCCCATTAGACCTCTTCTTCTTCTTCTCCATGTCCATGCACCTGATCTCTACTGAGGCAGTGCCTGTGAAAACAGGGTATAGGTTAATACATATAATTCCAAATTATAACCCATCGGACTGGTGTCCCTCAAATCTCGGTTCGTAAGATCGACCGGACTGCAACGGCTTGATCAAGTCTAGATACGTTCATATTTAGGAGACAATATGTACACTGCACGTACCCACTCGTTCATCTGGCATACAACGGCGCCTTTTCTCTCTCTCTCTCTCTCTCTCTCTCTCTCTCTCATCTCTACTCCGTAGGTATCCATTAGACATGATTGTCTCTTTTGGGTTGCTGACTAACCATCTGGCCAGGGGTCACCTTCTCTGAAAGGTTAGCGCCAAACTTGGTCCATCCTCGGCATAAGCGTGATCAAGAAAGAAGAGGAGCGTAAGATGACTTGTGTGGAATCTTCGCATCGCCTCCGCTTTCTACTGATGTTCATACCTGTTGATAAATCTATGAACACTAATAGGTACCCTTTCAACACCAGTCATTTTCGTGGGTGATTGGCTACATCGCAGAGGTTGCAAATTATTTTTTGACTGGGTTGCGTGCAGGAGTATTTTATTCCTTAAATATTTTTTTTTTGCCTTTTTTTACCTTCTTTCCTTCGGTGCCCCTTCCCTTGTACCCGTCGGAGCCACCGGACCCGCGACCCTGGATATTATTTTGAAGCTCACGCCACTCCTTTCCGATTATCCATTCCGTTTTTTAGGTGTGGTGTGATCTGTCCAACTACATCTCTCGAATTTCCACGCTTGTATCTCATCTCTTTTACTTCCCCCCTACAACGATTGGCATCCATAATTTGGGCGTTTCTCGTTCAATAGCCATGCCTGGAAGGACGCTGCCAACGTTTACCTCCGCCGAGGTTGAGTCCCATAACAATGCCAAATCCTGCTATGTGACTCTGGGATCTAAAGTCTACGACATTACCTCTTTTGTCGATGATCATCCTGGTGGCGGTGATTTGATCCTTGAGTATGCTGGGAAAGATGTCAAAGAAATTCTGCGCGATGCCGTCTCCCACGAACACTCGGAAGCGGCCTACGATATTCTAGAAGACAGCCTGGTTGGTTTCATTGCCTCCGACTCGACTGGCAAAGGTGCAAGCATAGATGGTGTAGGAAAATCATCGGGCCCTGTATATGCCGCAACTGGAATGTCCCGCGAAGAGGACTTGTCTGTTGAGACGGATTACTCCAAGGATTACCAGACGCACAAATTCTTGGATCTCAACAAACCTCTCCTTATGCAGCTCTGGAACGGTGGCTTCAGCAAAGAGTTCTACTTGGAGCAGATCCACCGCCCGCGCCATTACAAGGGAGGAGAATCGGCTCCTCTCTTTGGAAACTTCCTGGAGCCCCTGAGCAAGACTGCATGGTACGTAGTTCCGATTCTATGGCTGCCGCCTGTTACCTACGGTACCATGCTCGGGTTTGCCGGGCTGGGGAATGTGTCTGCTGCAGCTGCCTACTGGGTTGGTGGCCTTTTCCTGTGGACATTGATCGAGTACCTTATGCATAGGTTTTTATTCCATCTTGACCGGTATGGCCCCTCAGCTCCCCTTCTAGCCCTGTGTTTTCCAAAGCTAAGTTTGTCTAGATATCTTCCTGATAACCGGGTCGGCTTGACCCTCCATTTCCTGTTACACGGCATTCATCACTATCTACCTATGGACAAATACAGACTTGTGATGCCACCAACGCTGTTTGTTGTCCTCGCTACACCGTTTTGGAAGCTGGCGCATAGTGTCTTCTTCTATAATTGGTACGCCGCCTTGATGGTATTCTGTGGCGGTGTATTCGGTTACATATGTTATGACTTGACCCATTATTTCCTCCATCATCGCAAGTGAGTCACATTGGATTCTCAAGTTCTATGAAAATGTTATTAACCATGTTATACTGCAGTCTTCCACTCTACTATAAGGGGCTCAAGAAGTACCACCTTCAACATCATTTTGCCGACTTCGACAATGGTTTCGGTGTCACCAGCCGGTTTTGGGACCGTATTTTCGGTACTGAGCTTGAAACACCCGCACCTAAAGATGTGAAGAAGCTGTGAACGCAATCGCATAAGGGTTTGCGTTCATCTCAATTATCCTAAGTACGAAGTAATGTCGAGGCTGATTGCGGCCCAGTCTTTCATTCATGTTTGTTTCTGAAATCATAGGATTTCGAAAGCTTAGTTGTTGTTCCACCCTACTCTGCTTCATGTACAGTGAATTCGGTCATTTGCTATTGCAGGACCTTGATTCCTCCTATACATATTATGGTCATGGTCTTTGGCGAGGCCGTTTTGTCAAATAGTGTTTATACGATTGTATATGATTATAACACCTAATACATAATGCGTTTACCATGAGAGACGTCTTTACTGGAGATTTAGATCAAGTAACCGTGTTTGTGGTGACGTTTCTATGGTTCATTCAGAAAATTGTTCAGAGGCAATGCCAAGATGCATCACGTGATGTTGGCCGCTTTTCATTTCCACCCAGCCTTGCCTGTTATCTCGTACCACTTGTGTGACTCTTGACCCTCAATAACCCCTTTCCTCTTGACCGTTTAACACTTTCTACGACGAATAGATCTTTTACTTAGGAGCAGAGACGCTCTATCTGGAACTAGGCTGTGAAACAGAAGGGTTTGCTCAAGCCTAGCCTGATCTGCCGTCACCATCTAACCAATCCAAAAGTGACCTAAATCCATCCCGCACGATCTTCCTTTTCTCCTTTCCATTCAGCTTCATCCAGGGCAGAGTTATCAACATATCGTCAATATGTCAGGTCTCGATGTCGAGGCTCTACTTGAGTCCACAGCCGCCGCAGCGCCACAAGATGCACGACAGTCTCAGGAACGCGATGACCGCTCCAAAGCCGATAGTAGTGACCGCCGGGACCGCGACCGCTCACGAGACAAGGATCGTAGACGCCGGGACCGCAGTCGGGACCGACGTCGTGACGCCGATGGAGATGAAGACATGAAGAGTCCGAGAAGCGAACATGGCAGTGCTAACGGAAGCCATAGAAGCAGAAAGAGGAGCAGGAGCCGCGAGAGTGATCGCCGTCGATCTCGACGTGAACGGCATGGCGATGACTACCGATCTGGCGGTGACTATTACCGCGGAGGTGGGCGGGCCCGCACTCGATCTCGATCCCCTAATGACGACCGCTATTACCGCCCTTCGGGTCGTTCCCGTCGAGATGAGAGAGATGATGATCGACGCTCTCGCCGTGAGCGAGACACTCGCAGACGTAGCCCCAGTCGCGAAAGGACCCCGGAGCTCAACGAGGATGAGCGCGACAGACGCACTATTTTTGTACAGCAGCTTGCGGCGCGTCTGAGAACTAAGGAACTGATTGCTTTCTTCGAGAAAGTTGGACCGGTTAAAGAGGCTCAGATTGTCAAGGATCGCGTTAGTGGTCGGTCTAAAGGGTGAGTCTTCGATTTTCCATTGAAGGTATGTCGGTGACCTAACAACTGTCTAGTGTCGGTTATGTCGAATTTAAGAACGAAGATTCCGTTGCTCCTGCTATTCAACTTACGGGACAGAAGCTTCTAGGAATTCCCATTATCGCACAGTTGACTGAAGCGGAAAAGAATCGTCAGGCTCGCAATCCGGACGCCAGCAGTGGCAACAATCACGCAGCTCCATTTCACAGGTTGTACGTGGGTAATATCCATTTCAGCATCACTGAAAATGACCTCCAGAATGTTTTTGAGCCGTTTGGCGAGCTCGAGTTTGTTCAGCTTCAGAAGGACGAAACCGGTAGAAGCAGAGGTTATGGTTTTGTCCAGTAAGTGACAACTCTTCTTCTGTGATGCTCTTGTTGTTAACTGGTATTTTTTAGGTTCCGTGATCCCAATCAAGCTCGGGAGGCACTAGAAAAAATGAACGGGTTTGACCTTGCTGGTCGAGCAATCCGCGTTGGCCTTGGCAACGATAAGTTCACCCCTGACTCGAGTGCTCAACGATTGCAGAGCCAAGGTGCAAACCAACAGAATTTCCAGGGCTCTTCGTTCTCGGGCCATGGAGGCCGTGGTATCCAGGCCGGTGGTACTAGCAATTTCGACCGTGCTGGCGGGCGGGATTCTGAAAAAGGGGCCGGTGCTAGTGCTTTGGATGATACAGATGTTGCTGGTGTGAACTTCAACAACTATAGTAGGGACGCATTGATGAGGAAACTTGCAAGAACAGATGAACCCTCAGAGTCGTCCGCCGACGATAAGCAGAAGGTGCTTCGGCCTAAAACAGAAACCAAGCCATTGCCTGTCAATGTCAACATGGCAAGTCGGTGTGTTATGCTTCGAAATATGTTTGATCCTGCCGAGTAAGCCTACCCCTATAAATCTCCTTGCAAGCTATGGACTCTAACAATGTATACAGAGAAGAAGGTGAAAGCTGGATTAAAGAGCTAGAGGATGACGTCCGCGCTGAGTGCGAAGAAAAATATGGCCATGTTGTTCACATTGCACTAGATCCTAACTCACAAGGTGATATCTACCTGAAGTTCGACCGCGTCCAGGGTGGTGAAAACGCCATTAAAGGCTTGAATGGACGATTTTTCGGCGGCAAACAGATCACCGCACAGCCCGTTGTCGACGCTGTTTACAGCAGTTTGTTCTCTCGAACCAAGGCGATCTAGTGCTCGACTCATCAAACGCCTACGAAAGCTTACATCTTAGTAGGTATTTCATCTAATAGCGTGATATTAGGTGCGATTATTTGTGACGGAACCACCGTCTAACTCCGAACCATTCAACTTACTTCGACATGGTGCTTGGCTTTGATGACACTACCCCTGGTAGGTGCCATTTTTTGACATATTGCTTTTTATGAGCCGGAAGGCTTCTTGTGCAATGATTTGTTTATAGGGATTTGTACAGTGCATTAGCGCAATAAAACCTTTGTAGTTTTCCAATATCTAGGTCTTCTCATTCACTGAGACTCCCACGGGCATGAACTTTGATACGTGTGATCAGCTAAATATGTGATGAACCGCTTTGGATATTGACTAGTCTGTGGAAGTGTTTATGCCATGGCAACCCTCCGTTCACCACGAGGTCTATGCTTGGCCCGAAAGACACTGCTTCTTGGTTCCCCACCATCTACATGATGAAGCCGCTAGGCACTCGATGTGAACCTTCACGCCCAAAGTGCGTAGTCAGGGAAATATTTATCATGAATCTGCCGAGCATAATCCACCACCGCCGGATATCCCCGAATAAGCTTCTGCGTCTGGGGCGCCCTACACCAAACATAACAGCATTAGCAACCCATCACGAGGCATAGGAACACACAATAAGGAGAAAGAAAGAGATGGGAGAAGGAAGGAGGGAGAATCATACGCATAACAAACCAACCCTGAAACAATAAACCCAAAAAGCGCCGCATCAGCCTCAGTCGGTTCCTCACCACCCAAAACCCAGAACGGACCTTGTCCTCCCCGTTCAACATGTCGCGATCTCGCCTCGATAAGCGCACCATTGATCCGCTCCCAGATCTCCTGGGCTAAGGAACTGATCTCCTCTGTCGAGAAACGCATCGTCCCCTGGCCGGTAAGAGTACGCGTGACTTTGTTGTAGGCCATGAGACCTACCACGACACGGACAGGCCAAGGCAATGCCGCCAGAATCACGTCCCGCATGGTATAGTAGTTCAGCACCCATTTTTCGTATCCCTAGTTCCGGAATCAGTACACATACTCGTTATAGATCAACGTGCTCTCAAGTCATGAAAGATATCATTCCACGATGGGTAGTACCCTTTCCAAACAGAGTATTGGAAATAAATTAATACATACGTTATACCAATACAACTTATCCTCCAACAACGCTATCAGCCCGATATCCTGGAGCTTCTGTGATCCCGAGAGCTTCGCGTTGAAATCCTTCGTCAACCCCTTCTCAATAAATGTCTTCGTGATCATGGTCGAATCGCCCATAACGACCGGTGGGGCTGATTTGCTTCCATCCTCATAAAGGCTCTCTGCCGGGATAGAGATATAGGGCACTTTGCCTCGGGGTGCGTTGCGTACAGAGCCTGCTTCCACGCGGTAAGGTATGCCAGCGAAGCGCAGGCGGGTTTCCAGTTTAATTACGAATGGGGACCAGCTGTAGGCTCCTGTGCCTGGGAGGCCGCGGTAGAGGGTCAGGAGTGTTGGGGCTGTATCTGAGGACATTTTGATTGATATATTGGGTATAGGCGTTAAGATTTCTTTCTTTATTTCCTCTTTTTTTTTCTTTTTTTTTTTGCCCCAGATGGAGATGGATGGGGTATTAGGGTTGAATATATTGGAGGTTGCAAGCTTCTCGTATTTGTGTCTATATATGATACTTTGTGTTGTCGGGCTTGGGTCGGGTTTTGCGGCGTATTCAAAGCCCGATAACGATACGGCTTGGGGGCTATGTTTCTAAGTGGGTGGGTGATTGATGGCATTGCGTTGCGGGCTAGGATGTGGCCGTCAGCAGTCAGCACTACTAGTCAAATCCTCATGGTCTGTTCCTTACAACTCGATCTGCTCCACTTTAGGCTGCGTTAGGCTAAGATGGACACAAATCAAGATGGCGGTGTATTGTGAATGTTTGATAATATGTACAGTGTGACCAGAGGGCCAAAACTCATCAAAGTAAAAAGAGGAATAATAAGAACAGTATTTACATATCCTCAAGTTAGCATTGAGTACTTCCTCACGGTCATCGCCGTGACCGACGCGGATCAGTCGCTTCTTGTCGGCGAAATTCTCGAGATTCCTTCGTTCCCATGCTTCCTAAACCGCCTTCAAGTCGTCGTTCCCAACCACCTAGTCGGACGACGAGGCAGGTTGCATTGTCTCCCTCCTTTGTCACTTCATTCGCAAAGTTGACCACATCCCGAGACCCCTGCTCGGGAGTCCTGGCCTCTTTAATGATGTCGACAACCTCTTGGTCACTGAGCGTGCCACTGATGCCATCAGACATGAGGACCAAAAAAGAGTACTCCGCAGGGGCCATCTCAATCCTTCGGAGCTCTGGCTCGGCTGATACGCCAATCCGTTTCGATTGAACGTCACCAAAGGCTCGCGTGTTGGCCAATCCGCTCATGCGTTCTTCTCCAAACGAGTCAGTCACGAATGTAGTGGCATATCGTCGTAAGCGACTCGCCTCAATCGGTGACGCCGGATGATGGTTGGAGGTCAGCGGAATGGCATCGCCTGTCTCTGTAGAACATAATAGTATCCGTGTGTCGCCGACATGGGACACCAACAGACTAGACGGGCCAGACGGATGCCAGAAAGGGGTAGGGGTCGGGGTCGATATGAGCGCGAGGCTAGCCGTGCTACCTCCCTTGAATCGTCTCACTCCCCCGACGTGTAGAGACGGTGTACGATCACGGCCGTAGAGGATATTGTCCTGGTATAAAGGGTGACCCACGTTCTCCAATTCATCGCCTTGTTTCGCCGCTTGTGCCGACACAAACTCCAGATCGGTCCGGAGGAAGGCGTATTCAAGGACCTCTTCAATGGTAACACCCTCGGGTAGGTCGGACAGTGCCTTTGGCTCTCCGCGGGCACCTCTCCCAATATGTGAGAAATGAGGAGGCACAAATCTCTTGAAGTACCCTCCGACTAGGGTTCGCCAATCTCGGACGAGGTGCTTTTCTAATTCCCCGATTCGTTGCGAGTTGGCGTCTTGCAGAATAGGCAAATCCCCAGTGGACGGCTCTGTGTCCTTAGAATAATGGCCATCCCGGTGTTTCTTTAGACTGGACTGGAGCTCGAACGACGCTGCCGAATCCTGTATGTACTCATGAAGCGTGTGCTGTAGAAATGTGCTACATTCGTTTCCCCCGTGGCCGTCGAATACTGCAAAATAGAAAACCTGTGGATCGCCACTAGCAGTCTCCGCCCCTTGACTCTCGCGGGGTGCAGGGGACCCATGGGCACCCGATCGTTTGATCGTCAGGGACGCAGGGGGACGCCTCGCAAATGCAGGAATGTCGATCACACCAGCTTGATATGTATCTTCATTCTCCGGACGAGTTCCACGGGAAGTAGATGCGCCGAAGTGGTGTTTCGCGCTTCGAAGAGGGATGCGTACGACTGTCGTCTCCCGGTCGACCAGCGGCTGGAAGGAGGCTGGGGGGTGAGATGACTCTCCGGTATGAGGAACGGAGGCGGAGCGAGGAAGTTTGTAGAAGGAGTTTACTGGCGCTCGGGGATCTGGATGAAGAGATGAAGATGGTAAATGTGTAACAAAGTAGTCGTGAAATTCAGGCCTCCTGGCTACCCTGTTGTCGTTGGTCGCAGCATTCGCGGGATTCGACGTGTAGCAACGCTTTGGTAGAACCAGAGAAACTAAGAAGCATATGGAATCAGTCAACGTTCGCCAGAGCTCCTGTGTGAACCGGACTCAGCGACACGATCGCCATCATGGACACTTCGGAGATAAGCCCTAGGGATGTTTGTGCAAGGGTTAAGGTATACGTACTGCGACGATCAGCCAAAGTCCGGACCTGGACTGTGACCCGCTTCGCAGGAGTTAGATTCATGAAGGTCGAGGCATTGACGACTTGAAGATATGGGGAAAAGGTGAAATCACGTCTGAGAGTACAGAGTAAGGAGTATGCAAAAAAAAAAAAAAAAAAAAGCTAAGAAAGGACTTTATCGGGAAACCGCGGGGATTGATGATTTTGCGGCCCGAGCGCAATTGCGACGGAGAAATGCAACGGCAATTTTCTTAGATCTCATAGTAAATCCTTCTTATCTCCCTTATCGACGTGGCTCCCAACTTACCCCATGGAGTATCTTACTTATCACACTCTCTTAAGGATTGGATCAACAGCAATGTGTGGCATGTTATCATTGGGGGGCCGAAATTCACCCCGGACTTTTCTTTAGCCTCTGATTCTGATACTTTCCAAGATCATGGACTCCACCATAACGCCATCGATCACTTTCAACAACCAATCCTTCAATCCTGAACTGCAACTATTGACATCATCACACTGCTGAAAGCCTAGACCGCTTTGTCCAAATTCATTCACTCTGTTCCCAACCAACACATTCCAACCTGTAATAAACTCTGTTTTCTCTCAGATTCATGCGGCCCAAGATGCGGTGAATAATTAAAGAAGAAAAGGGAGTTTCAGAGCACTTTCCCACCCGGACCGGCCCTCACTTAGCACGCATCTCACAGATGAGCTAAGTATAGCGTCTAGGGGGAGGACGCAACAGTACCTTCGCGAGGCCTACCAGCCTGACGTCAGCCGGACTCGTGGAATTATCACTGATTCTAATGGTTGGGATAACGCCCAGATGAACAAGGGTGTTGTCCTTCTTTAGTGTCTGAGGGCCCCCACCAAGAAATTGGTCTCAATTAACCATTGACCCGGGCTCGAATATATCGTTCACCGCAGGAAACTTGAAGCTATATTCGAATGGTAACGAATATAGATCTATTGCGAGCGCCTGTGCATCGGTTAAGATGCCGTGAAGGTCCACCCAAACCATCTGATATTGGTTCAAGGGATCATGAGTAAGGGGACATATGAGCATCCACAATTTTTCCATATACGAGTGGGTGTTGTTTCTATTGAATTCGGAAAATTTCGGCTTATTTACCACGGCCTGGATGTGGTGTGCCATCGCAATGAGCAGCGAATGGCGGACCACCACAGGGGTATCTGTATCTAATCATCAGTCTCGGCAAAAGGGAACTATAGGCTACTCAATATACCTATGGTTAAGTGCTTCTGTATCTGTTTGAGCTCCATTTCCATCTGAGCGTCGAACCCTCTGACGACTATGGGTTGCAAGATATGCTGAACGAGGTAGAAGTTGATTGCTTTCGCAACCACGCAGAGCCTAGTGCATGGATTTCCTAGCAAAGTTGATGCATGGATCTTATCCGAGATATTCATGACATATTCCTTAACCCGCGGGTTCAACTGACTATCAAATTGTATGCTAGGAAATTTGGTATACATGTGGCCAAACGTCTGCGTCCTTGAGAAAAGGCTCTGAAGTCTGGTCGAGATCACCCGAAAGACTGTTTCGGTATCGAATGAAGGACCTAGGGAGCAAACGCGCATCGGAAAACCGCTCCTCTTGCGGCTAAGTGACGTCTTGGAGTTTTCTTCCAGACTCAGAAGTTTGCCCTGTGGAGTACTAGCAGATAGGTCAAACGTGGGAGGAGGGAGAGTAAGGACACTTGAGGAGTAAGGGCTGGCTGACAATGGGGCGCTTGAACGTGGAGACCTTACGCTAGGGCGCTGTTGAGTGTATGTGAGAGGAAATATTGGCATAGGAATAGTGGACTGCCAAGTGCGAATCCTCTTAGGGTCTGCAATGGCTTTGCTCTGGTTGCTGATTGTGGTCTTCTGTTTCTGGACCAAGTCTTCCAGCTCAAGAATTTTGACACGCTGTCTGCTGATAGTCTCGATATCCTATGCACTGTATTCACAGCAGCGGTTGAGGGCTGCCTCAACTTCTTCCAACCTTGCCTGAGTTTCTTTTACACGGGTATGAAGCTGTTCAATCACATCTGCACGGGTCCGTCTTTGCAGGCCACCTGAATCAGGAGCATAATAGGGTTTTGCGATGGCCATATGATCCAGAGTTCACCAGATGTCAAAGGCACAGCAAGAAGTAAAGGGTGAAGATGAATCGCAACTGAAGATATTTAGGCTTGGATTAATTCTAGAACAATGAGCTAACCAATGGAGAAGCTCAAGGTTAGAATATAGGTACACTTAGAGAAGTGATTAAAGATCTTAACAACACTGAGGTGATACCTATATCTGTGCTTGTAACAAATATTATCAGAATAATCAAAGCAACAGAAACAACCAAGTCTATATTCTATTGTATGGGACACCAAGTGGGGCTTCATCACCAACCCATGGAGCTAAACTACATACTGCACCTAAAGTGAATGGACTCACTGTGTCATTATGGCCAGCTCACCGGCTAGGAATAACAAAGAGATTGGTTTTATAGATAGGTTTTCCCTGACTCAGACAAACGGGCAAGGCTTCGTTTGTTTCTAGTGCTTTGGCTACTTTCATCAAACAGGCAGTCAATTGAGTGTCAGTTGACTAGCATGGCCAACTCTGGAACCACATATTCTACCTAAAACTTCTTGAAGTTGCCACTTCCAGCTATTGGTACGGATTAGTAGTAGTTGCTGTGTTCCTTGTTATGTCGGTAAAGCGGCCCTACTATGAATACCACGGGTAATACAGATATGGCTCTTAATAGGTTTGATTCGACTGACTCCATCAGTCCATAGCATAGGTGCTGTGCTAGAGAGTATATACTCTCAAGTATAGTATATATAATATGTATTCGTTTCTATTGGATACTCTACAGGATGACCGCATTGGGAAAGCTTCTCCTTTTTTTCTTTGGAACCCGAAAGCTTTGACCCACGAACCAATTCCGAGACTCCCGTCCGAAAAGTCCTCCCTTAACTTACTACTACCAACTTATTGCTGAGCCAACTGTGGACAATCAACCTTTTTATTTTTCTTCTTTTCTTTCATTTCTATCCTTGAAGGGGTTGCTCTTCTCCGTGCGTGAATCAGGTCGCAATATATCTATAAGATAGTCTATCCATCCAACCAACGGCGTGGAGGGAGTCCAGAGCGTAAGTACCGCACGAGTGAACTACAGCCGCTACCTTCCACTAGTAGTTGGTGGCTTATCAACCTTATCGCCAAAACGACACACATGGCCAATTTGGAAATCTTTCCCCGGAGATCTCCTGATCAACTAACACTCCGACCTCGATCTGATAGACTACCAACACCTCCCACGAGCTTTTCTCCGTATTGTCGCATTCGCCTCAACCGCTAAATCCTTTGGCTCTGTACGGTCCCCCGCTCGGGTTTGAGACGCGTTGTCTTAACTTGCGTTGATTCGGTACGTGTTTTTGCAGAGTTCTCCTGGAGAACTGTGCTGCGTAACCGTAGCCATATCGCCATTGTACCTCTCTCCCCACAGGGGTGCTTACGACATGTATAGCTTTGACTAACGCATTGCTCCTCGGTATCGTTTGCAGATTGTCGTATACTTTCAGATAGCGAACACATCGTGTATCGTCCAGCTTCCTCCATAACCGGTTGTCACTCCCGTTCAACTCTCGCGCCACTGTGGTTTTCTAGCTTCAGTACTTCCAAAATCCATACAAGTCTACTTATCGCTGGGGATCGCATTCGTTACCAAATCCGTCACTGTGTCCACTGAATCAAAGATGGGTGCCCGCACAAGAAGACAACAGGCCGCCTTGGCCGCTCAGTCGGATAGCAATGAGTCGCCGGCTGGCAATGGCACAGTGGAAAAGTCACCAAAGAAGACTAGAACTTCGGGCAAGAAGGAAGTGAAGGAGAATGTATATTTGTTTGCCCCTAACCTTATTGGTAAGGAGCTTCTTCCCGCCTCGTCGATATTCCACAATGTTCCGAATAGACGCTTACCGGTGGTGCGGGATTAGGATATTTACGGGTTGTTCTGACAATGGCTTCGCTGTACTATATGCCGCTGCATCCGCGAACGTGCTCCCTTCTTTACAGTGTGTCTTGCTTGCTGGATGCCCTAGACGGATATGCAGCACGCTACTTCAACCAGTCCACCACCTTCGGCGCGGTTCTGGATATGGTGACGGACCGCTGCACAACTGCGTGTTTGCTGGTGTTCCTGAGTTCGGCATGGCCTCGCTGGTCTATTGTTTTTCAGAGTCTGATTGCCTTGGACATGGCCAGCCATTACATGCACATGTATGCTACCCTCAGCATGGGCGGGTCTGGCCAAAGTCACAAGAAGATCGATTCTAGCAGGAGCTGGATCCTGTACCAATACTACAATAGCAAGGTGTGTTATACCCAGCATACAAGAAGTCCCATCCTGATCATGTCTATAGACTGTTCTGTTCATCTGCTGTGCTCTGAATGAGCTTTTCTTCATTGGCCTCTACCTTCTTTCGTTCTCGTCCCCTATTCTGTCTCCATCCCTTCTTCAACCCGTTCCAGGCTCCGGAGCCGACGCTGCACAGCCGGTCTCGACCGACTCGTTCGCCAGCCCATGGAGCGCTGGCGCGCTGGAGATGGCTAGGGCCAACAAGATTGACAGCACCTGGCCTTGGATCATCACCGGAATCTCGGCCCCCGTTATGGCTCTCAAGCAGATTATCAACGTGGTGCAGCTTGTCAAAGCTAGCAACTGGCTGGTTGAAGGTGATATTGCCAACCGCAGGGCGCTGCGCGGTAAGAAAAACTAGGCCTCTGGTGCGATTGTCGGGTACCTGGCCGCCGGTGGAAACTACGGCTCTTTCTCGCCTAATCTTGGGGATAGCACTACCGCCAGCGCCTGATTATCATCACTCCGCTTGCATGGCTTTGGTGCCTGGTTAATTCCTCGGGACCGTGGAAAACTGCCCCAGTTCTTTGTCTCTTCTTCTCCTTTCTCCTTTATCACCTTGTTCCCTTTCTATGGTGCCCTCGGCGGAAGATATGTTTCAGTTGGGAGGAAATTATGGAATTATAGGTCTGTGCAGACCATTGCGGGGACAGACCCATTTCGAATGACTTACTAGTATAATTGCTTCGACTGTCGCCTTTATTACGGGCTACCTATTTGCATCCCCTTTTTTACTTTGCTTCTCATTTTTCATTTCTTTCTGTCTCTTTATAAACCTCAATTTTTTCTTCTTTTTTCTTTTTTCTTTTCTTTCTCCCAGGCTGTCTCTGACATGATTTAAAAAATTCTAATCCGGTTCTGTGTATTAGTGGACATACAGTTGCTTTCTATTGAATGATTGTAGTGATCAGGAAACAATACAAAAAACAGTTGAAAATGCTGGAGTCCCTTAGTAATTAGCTTGATCCTACTAGCGTTGCAGTTGCATGAGGCGGCGGTTAATCACGGGGAAGTCCGACTGCGGCTCCGGTGTCGGCGCGCGGGGTGACTCGAGATCCACCCCTCATGGCTCATATAACTCTCGGTGCTTTCTGGTTTTGGGCTTGGTTTCTTGTCAGTGTTATAGTCCATTGTACTCAGACAGCTGCTTCACAATGTCTTCCTACAATATCGTCGTCTTTGGAGGAGACCACTGTGGTCCGGAGGTGAGAAGATACCGATTATCTTATACAGTTCTTATAGCCCCGTATACTGACTATCGTTTATAGGTCACCGCAGAGGCCATCAAGGTAAGCACTTCGACCGCAAATCGACCTCGCGGAGGACCTGAGAAAGGATAATTTAGCATATACTAACCATGAAATTTGTCGAATGGTTAGGTCCTTCGTACTGTTGAGAAGAATCGTGATGTCACCTTCAACCTTCAAGACCACCTGCTGGGAGGAGTACGTTTTGCACGTTTTGTCCTCTTGAGACACCATTTGGTACTGGCATATCGCTTACTGAATAACATAGGCATCAATTGATGCTACAGGATCCCCCTTGACCGACGAAGCCTTGAACGCAGCTAAGAACGCTGATGCCGTTCTCTTGGGTGCCATCGGTGGACCGGTATGGCACACCTCAACAATTCAAATACAATCCAGACAAAATAATCTAACGCGAGACTAGAAATGGGGCACCGGCGCCGTCCGTCCCGAACAGGGTATCCTGAAGCTCCGTAAAGAAATGGGCACCTTCGGCAACCTGCGCCCCTGCAACTTCGCCGCACCCTCCCTCGTCGAGAGCTCTCCCCTCCGCGCCGACGTCTGCCGCGGTGTTAACTTCAACATTATCCGTGAACTGACGGGTGGTATCTACTTCGGTGAGCGCAAGGAAGACGACGGCAGCGGATACGCAATGGACACGGAGCCGTACTCACGCGCTGAGATCGAGCGCATCATCCGTCTGGCCGCTCATCTTGCCCTGCAGCACGACCCCCCTCTTCCTGTGTGGAGTTTGGACAAGGCCAATGTCCTGGCTACTAGCCGTCTGTGGCGTAAGGTTGTCACCGAGGTCATGGCCAAGGAGTTCCCCCAGTTGAAGATTGAGCACCAGCTTATCGACTCCGCCGCTATGATTATGGTCAAGAACCCCCGCCAGCTGAACGGTATCGTTGTTACCAGCAACCTGTTCGGTGATATCATCAGTGATGAGGCTAGCGTTATCCCTGGATCTCTGGGTCTGCTTCCCAGTGCTAGCTTGAGCGGCATCCCTGACGGAAAGAGCAAGGTTAACGGTATCTATGAACCTATTCATGGTATGTCCTAGATCCCACATCGCTCTCATACCTTGAGTATATACTGACATGGAGGAAGGCTCCGCGCCTGACATTGCCGGAAAGGGCATTGTTAACCCTGTAGCCGCTATTCTCTCCGTCGCTATGATGATGCAGTACTCCTTCGGTCTGTTCGCCGAAGCCCGCCTCATCGAGCAGGCTGTCAGCAACGTTATCGAATCCGGTGTCCGCACTGGTGACATCGGCGGTAAAGCCACCACTGCCGAGGTTGGTGATGCTGTTGCTGCCGAATTGGAGAAGCTTTTGAAGTAAACGAGACCAAATAATAGGAGATGGAAGGATGAATGGGGAAAAGCTACAAATTTAGGCTCTATGCCCAATGAGATATGACCTTCTTGATAACTTATATAGATGACAAATATTTGAATTAATTCGCTTTTGATTCCCAGATCCTCGATGCTCCTTGAACATAATCCGTATAATTTGTAATGCCGAGTTTAATGCCCTCCAATGCACCATGGAACCGATACAACGAAAGATGGGTATCTAAACAACCGGAACTCCGAATACTAACCTAGCCTTGATGCTCCCATGCCCGTGATCCATACCTATATATGGGACCACCACCCATAAAACAACCAGGGCCAGCAAAAATCCCCAGCAGCAATGCGCTTCTCGCTCCCTACCGAATAACAGGCTCCCCCATCCAATCGGGCTCTTCTAGCGCAGCGACCTTTTCCGGGTTCGCATCCCCATGGATACCATGCCCGTCCGTCCCATCATCCGCCGCACCACGAAGCGACTTCCGCATACTATGCCTCCGGATCCGCCCATCAGCAGAAGCAGACGGCGCATTGCCAATCCGTCGACGCTCGTCGTCCCGCGCAAAGACCTGGAATCCGCGCACATGGGTATCCTTACCATTCTGATGATTCTCCATCACACGCATCTGGATCACCATCGCCTTGAGCACACTCCCCGCGTACGGATCATCTTCGTCATCTTCGATGGCAGTCTCCTCATCGTCATCTTCGTACGCAGCCAGGTTGAACTCCGCCGGATTCTCCGTATCAGAAAACATGTAGTCCGGCCACGCCGAGGACTTCCCCTTCCCGCCTTTCCGCGCTCGATTCCGTCGCTTCTTCCGCACCCATCCTCCGTCCCGTCCGCCCACGCCCTCTAGCGGTACATCGACCCACCCACACGGCGTCTCGTCTTCCCACGTCGCAAACTCAACGAGATCGTTCCCGCCCATGCCGGCAAGAAACGTCATCTTCGTGGGTGTGTAACTCTCATCCAGGTCAAAGTCGAGGTATACGCGGATTTTGACCACCGCCACCAGCTTGAAGAAGTGCAGAGTAAGCGTGTGCGGCTGGGGGCCGTCAGATTGCCAATATTGTGTCGGTGAGGGGTGTCGCAGGGCCGAAACGCCGCAACCGGGTTTGTGAGTTGAGACGGTCCACGAGGCGAGTGAGGATATTTCTCGCAGATTGCTGGGGAGCGGGGATGGCGATCTTGCTGTCGTAGATGTTAGCTATTGTATTTTACCCCCGCTCCGTATTTTTGTAGTGAGTTGTTCTGATGTAGAGTTTGGGGAAGGGTGTCATGGGTATTCCGGTAGATGGGGGATTTTAGTCGTAGTAGTAGGAGTAGTTTACCTCGATCGTGCATGATCTCGTCTTCGTCCTCGTCTATTACTTCTAGGTCGTCCTCGACCATCCCCTCCATGTCCTCTTCGGAGAGTTGGGCTTCATGGTCTGCGTTCTCTTGGGAGTTGTATTCATCGTGCTCGTATTCGTCTTCGAATTGACTGTCGTCTTCTTCCTCGTCATCTTCCATCATCTGTGCCCGTGGACGTCCTGCGACTCCTCGGCCAAATAAGGAGAAGAGAGCCGCCTGGGCGGCGGCGGCTGGATGGGCTGGTTCGACTGGCTCGATGGGCCCCGATGAGGGATGTAGCTGGGGGATGCCTTGCGACGGCGGTGTCTGGAATTGGGACTGTGCCGCTGCATGTTGGCCCAGTCGTGACCTACTTGGGCGTGGTTGAGTGGACTCAGAGGGTGATTCTTCTGGAGCAGCGGGGTGCCGGCGGAGGAGATGGTGATGGCGAGGCATTGTGCGGTGGGGTATTTCGGGTTGAATGGAGTTAGTTGGGAAGGTTTATGTTTGGGGATTCATTTCTCTGTTTAATTGAAGAATGTAGCTGTATTCCGTGTAATCGGTTCTTTGATAAGCTTCATCTTTCGCGTCGCTGCTCCGCGCTATCACGTGCCATCTTCTGTCTATGTCAAACCTAGTATAAAGGATGCAATAAAAACAAGTACATAATCTATTCATAGTCTCTAATTTCAATGCTTTTGTTTCGCAGGGTGCGCTTCCTGTTGAAATCGCGCTGTCTATGCTATATAGTGAAATGTTTGAAGAGTGGTATGATACAGAAACAACCAAAAAATACAGAAAGAAAGCAGCCCCATTAATAAGATGTATAACTCCTGGTCAGACCGGGCGTGACATCTCAAGTGTCGTATAGCCCAGCATTTCACTGTTCGGTGTCTACATACCCTAGCTTCTCACCGACCTTGATGCGTTGACCCATCTCGATGGTCCAGTTCCAGCCACCCTCGCGTTTTCCCTCTTGATATCCTGCGTCGAATGACTTACGGGTGCCCATAGGAGCCTCAAAGACCAGGACAATCGTACTGCCGAGTTGGAATCCTCCCATCTCCTCTCCCCTCTGGAGCGGATGGCCTCTGAGGGTCCTGCTGGCGTGCAGGTAGGTTGCCTCAACGAAACCGGGATACTGCTCGCCTCGCTTAGCAGCGAGAGCTGCCGCCATATCTGCGGCGGTGTCCGTGGTGAGACTGTTTGTGCGCAGCTCGGCGTCGAAGTTCACTTTGATAGAACCCACATTGGTAGCACCAACGGGGGTATAACTGAAGAATCCCCAGCGCCAACGTCCCAGAAGGACAACCCGCTCGTTGAGAGTGAAGAGTCCTGGAAGGTGACGCTGCAAGTACGGCGAGACGGAATACAGTTCACCCGCGAAGTGTCGGCGGCTCTCGACCACCCAGGGCACGGGGGAGTGGAAACGGTGGTAATCGCCAGGTGCGAGGTAGATCACGACGTAGTAAAGTGCATTATTCGACTTGGGTTTCGGCGCATACCATGGAGTGCCGTCCCCACGAGCCAGATCAGCCCTGACTTCGGCTTCTGCGGCAGCCTTTGATCCTGTTGAAGCGTCCAACGATGCTGAGCGCTTCCTTGCTCCGCCCTGATCACCGGCGAAGAGAGTTGGTAGCGTGTAGGGAATGCCATTCATCGTGGCAAACTCCTCATCGGCTGCCATGTCAGCTGCATCTTTCTGCGAAGGTTCTGTCAAGTGATCGGTGAACTTCTTGGAGTGGTCAGCATGTGAAGGTGTAGCTGCCCCCAGAAGTGCATCCAAACTGTATGTAACCCCCTTAACCTGTTCTACTTCACCACGTTCGATCAGACCGAACTGAAGAATACGTCCATCCGATGGCGAGATAACTGCGCGGGTATCGGGGTCTAAGGGCCGGGCACCGGGCTTCAATCTGCGATAGAAGAAGGCCGCCAGGTTCGGGTAGGTGCGCAGATCCGGTTGTTCTACTTCATCCAAGTTGACACCAAAAACCCATGAATAGAGCTTGAATCCAGGGGCGCGAAGGAAAACTGGAAGCTCAAGCTCATTAAAGCGGCCCCATAGCCGGGATATTGCTTTTAGTGGCAGGGTCGACATGATCTGAACCTGCCATGGCCCGCTTGGCCTGATTCTATGTCGTGGAGGTGGGTTTGTGATCTCATCTTCAGCTTCTCTTTCTCGGCGTTCCCGTTCGGCCCTTTGCGACTTGTAAAAATGGAGTATACCCAGGAGACCAATGCCGAGTCCTATCGGAATCGGATACCATTCCACCTTAGTGTTTCGGAGCGCAAATCGTAGTCGGGATCCGAAGCCCTTCGGCGCTGGGTTCTCTTGGTTGTTTTGGTTTTGATATTGTTTCCATGATTTCGAAAATTGCCTAGCACTGGCTTTACGTCCAGCAGACGTCCTCAAGGCCACCATCTTCATCAATCCAGCATTCTCCCCGAGACGGGAGTCTCCAAAGTTCCGGCGAAGCACAGAACGGCTGGTAACATACAATGTCATAATGCTGCTTACTCCATAATTAACGCCCCTGGTGGGGAGTAGTAGCCGTCGGCACGAAACACTGAGGTTCCTAGACGTCAGTGAGCAACAGAAGGAGACCGAGGTCTTTCCCCCTCAAATCTCGTGCTTTTGCATCATGCTGCAGATCACCTTCACCGCCCGGCAGAATGAGCCGTCACAGAAACGGCTTCAACGGCATGGCGTTCTTGGTGCTTTCTTCTTCACTTCTGCAGCGCAGAAATATGTTCTGGATTTGCTCTCCCGTACGCTTGACTTCGGTGTGATTGCCATTACCAGGATAACCTATATGTGTCGATCGTTCATGGTGGAGGTCCTATAATTACGTGCTGACCCCTTGCCCGCCCGCGGAAAAGGCCACCATTGTGACTTGGGCCACCTTTATATGCACCTTATCAGGGGAGTATACCAAGTCGCCGTGATTGTCCTCTAGCTCCGTTGTCAATTCACCTCTTCCGCATAACATCCTCTTGAATAATACCTCATCGTCTAGATTTGTCTAATATCAATTTATATCTTCGGGGTATTCTCGAGCCCGACCTTGCGCTTGTAAGCGCGTGAGCAATTACTTCATGTTATGATTACATCTACATTGGGAATAAGAACTATACAAAGATGACCTCCAGTTGCGCCCCATCAGACAACTCATTGTCAAATTCAAATGCGACCAGTGGAACACAAGGGTTTATTCTGCATGTGCTGTGCCCATCGCTTCCTCCTCCTAATCGCTTTACATTCAATGATCTGGCACCTTCCATCAGTATCGCTGGCCTCAAGGCGCGAATATCCCAATCGATTCCCAATAGGCCACCACCGGAGACTCAAAGATTAATATATCGTGGAAAACCCATCTCAAATGATGACTGGACTTTACAAAAGGTGTTAGACCCTGTAAACGTGAGTGTTACGATGACCCTTTGTTTTTGGTTGGCGTGTCCACGAGTAGTTGTTTAACTAGGTATGTCTATTAGGGCGCTGAATACTCCGTGCATCTTGTTCTTCCACCAGCTCCTCTACCAGCCCATGTGGCGACCTCCCCCAGACCCTCGCCATCGCCACAGTTCCAAGCACCCGCCGGCATGCCTTCACCAGACCAGCTTTTTGCACCCAGCCGATCTGCCCCGCCATACCCAATGCAACATGGGCAAGAGGTTAGGTACCGAGGATCAATGGGTCCTAGTGAAGCAGATATTGGGCTAGCCCTGCGACGTAATATCGAAACCATCCGCCACCAAATCGAACTGCGGGAGCGAGGGGGCTCGCCCCTACCAGATCAGCAGGGAACCGAACAAACGCAACAATTTCCCTGGCAGCGTATGACGCCATTCCAATCTTCAACAACCACGTCAACGTCAACGTCAACAATGTCGACCCATCCATCAGACCTCAGTGCTAGTTTAGCTCAAGATACTAGACTACGTCTGCACATACTACGGCCGCAAATCGCGTTATGCGAAGACCAACTCAATCGAGGCATCGCGCCTCCTATGGACCAGGTGATTCGCATTCGATCACAATTGTTCAATATCCTTGATGATCAGTATAGAAACCCCTTGTCTGAACGCGACGGCTCTATAGAAGCCTTGCTCACTCGGGTTTTCAACATCTACACTCGCGCAGATCAGCTCCGTGTAAGCCACTCTAGGGCCACTGCATCCATGCAGCACAATATGCCCGATAGTCCTGCGAACAATGATCATGAACAGGCCCCCTTATATCTTCTTTCGTCGCCAAATGGATACCAGGCTCTAGTTACCGCCCCCGGTGCAGCGAGGTCAATCGAATCGTCACTGAGCGCATTTCGTGCGGCGCAAGCGTCACAGGCAATATCTGCCCATGCCACTGGCCATCCGCCCCAGGCGCATCCCATTCCGAACGCTGCTGTCATGGAGAATGCCGTTCGACAAGCAGTCCTTAATCAAAGAATGGCCAATAACGAGCCTGTAGGGTTCGCCCGGAGCATACGACGGATTTGGCTTTTTGTTCGGCTGTACTTCTTTTGCTATATGTTTAGCGAGCCCGGCACTTGGTCGCGAGTCCTCTTGGTGACCTTAGCTGTCATAGTATCTCTCCTGTCAGAAACAAGTGTCCCGCGCCAATTATACGGGATGATTATTTCACCAATCCAACGACACCTTGAAGGACTGATACACTTTTCTACCGATGAACACGTGCCACCGCGGCCCCAGGGCACAGATGCCACGGGTAGCTCACCCGGAGATAACCGACCTGCCGCCCCGGCGGGAATGCGCCATAACCTTCGAAGAGTAGAGCGATCTTTGGCACTATTTGTCGCCAGCCTGGTGCCGGGAGTTGGGGAGAGGCATGTCGAGGTACGCAATGCAGCGGAGGCCGCTCGAAATGCAGAGCGCGCACGAGAAGAGGAGGAGGAGCGGCGTAGACAGGAGGAGGCTAGCAACGGCGAAGGAGTGACTGAGCAGGAGCAGCAAGATCACGAAGAAAATCCACCTTCCCGCCCAGAGTCGTCTGTAGCCAATCCCGCCACTGAAGACGGACTTCGTACCTCAATATCCCGAGGAGATGAACACGATGCAAGGTAATCACTCCCGTCGTTTCATGCATCTACTCTCATTATCTGTTGCGTTAAGTGTTGTACATAGCTGGCGTTAAAGTAGCGTTGAAATTAGCGTAGATCCTTACGGACGGATTTAAAACATGGTGACCTGAAAATTAGACACGCTCGAGAATCTATTGTCTGGTATATAGTCTATTGGGGGTATTTATTAGCCCCCTCTAAACGGGCCTACAGCATGCGCAGAAATGTCACCAATCATCATCTAAGGTCAGGATCACAGCTTCGTGCCTGGCCTCTCCGTCGACGTATCTTGACTTGACGTAGGCAAAGCTGAAGACGGAGCCATGGGACCGGTATCAAATGACTCTTCCCCGTTAAAGTGCCTGTGATGGAAAATGGTATCAGTATTGCCAGTCAAAGCCCCGGAGGGAACAGGACAATTGATCAACTTACCACCCCCTCTCAGCGCCTCCGCTCAAAAAGCTACAGTCCCCATTAACAACACAGTCCCAACCCCCACTGACTCCCTTCCCGCCTTGCCAATCGGGTACAACGGTCCCAGGTCGAATAACTCTTGTTCCTGGCGCCAACTCCCGCTGGTCTGCGCTACCATCGCCAGCGGGTGTCGTTCCCCTTCGGACAAATGTACTTAGACCCGCCGTAAAAACGTTAAAGTCCTCTTCATCAGCATCCTCCGGCATGTTTCCGGTCAAAACCCGTCCCATGGCAATCAGTGGAGCCGCATGTGCACAGATCAGTATCGCCTTACTGGTGCGTTCCGACGGCGGCTGGGACGCTTCCAAGGCATTGATTTCAGCATCAACATCCGCAATAATGCCCGCTAAGGCTGTAGCTACTCTATCGTGAAGTTGGGCAATTGTTTCACCACGGGTAGAGGGCATTAGATGCGGGTTGTAATTGGCTTCAGGGTCCGAGGCAAGAAGTGTGGGGAAATGGGACTTGAGGGTACCTGGTGATGCAGGAGAAGGGTGATCAAAGAAAGAGGTTGGACCGAACCACTCTCTATCAACATGCGTTAGTTTTATCAGCAACGAGGCTGCAACAGTGACATCATTTACCCGACTCCATTTTCGATCCTCACATCCAGGTCCGCATCTCGGTCTATACCTGTTTCTATAGAGGGCGCTGAGTTATGCTTCTCCTTCAGAGCTTCCACTGATGGCTGAATCGTCTGCAAACACCGATAGAAGGGACTCGAGTATATCCGAAAGGGTTTCGGGGAAAATTCTGGGCTGACCAGGTGCTCTGCGAGCTCGAGCGATTGGCGCACACCGTGCGAGGTTAGGGTTGGGTCTGCGGGATTGCCGGTTGGTGTTGGGAATTGAGACTTGTATTCGCCTGTTTTATAGTCGATTGTCCAATTTAGACGATGCTGTTGTTTGGTCCTTCTTAGTTCCATGTGTTGTTTGGTGGGGGTGGGGCAAAAGATGGAGGTATACCCACGCCATGTCGAGTTAGATATATGGTGTCTAAAGGCATTGTGAGATGATGTATGATCAACACTGCAGGTGCAATATCTTAGAGAAACCCTCTTGAATGGAAGTAGTGTATTATAGAAATGTACAAGAAGAGCGTTGCGGAGAAGAGATAAGAGGCAGAATGCGGAGAGGAAAAGACCTCGGCTTAGATTTATCAAATAAATGACGCTAGAACTGATTGGGAATGAATACAAACACCCGTGATCCAATGAAGACGAGGATCTAATGAGATCTATAACAACAATACAATGCAGAAGTAAATATCTTCAACATAATGGAGTGAACAAGCCCTCGCTCAATTGGATCTGCGTCTGGACGAGAGTATGCAATTGTTGATGCAAGGTTACGAGTTGGTTCGGGTGTTTTCCCCTGATCATACCAGGAATCAAGGCCGCCTCCAGGATAAACGTAGAGACCTGACGATATCACTTATCACTCCGCCATGGGCTACGGTAGAGAAAGGCGAATAGCCGTTGAGGTAAAGCACTCCAAAATAAACCATATAACTCCACATGTCGCAAGCAAAATTTGGGTGTTTTCCATGAAGACGTTCTGGGGAGCAAAATTCCATAGGCGGATAACCTCTTTTGAGTTACAAATGTATCAACTTTCATTGCCAAACCAAAGTCTCCAAGATAGAATTTCAAAGAGGCCCAGCAAGCTCCCCCTGTTTTCATAGATTGTCGACTGGTATAGTTTCCTTCAGTGGCCGAGCGAGTACTTCGTATTTAGCACTCCTGTTAAGATCGTGAAGAGGAGTGATCCCCCACATACAGTTCTTCTCATTCAAGTCTACCAAATGTCAGTTGATATAAATAGGAAGAAAAGATAGGGAATATATTTCACTTACCGCGATGTACAATTCCGGCTTTGTGTAGATTTTCTAAAGCCTCTAGTAATTGCCGATCAGCGGGCATGCGAGTAGCCATGGACCCATTAATGGAATCATCAGAACCCTATGATAGCCATTGTCTCCAGGTCTAGGAAGTAGAAAAGTGGCCAAATATGTCACAAGATGTGAGGTATCCTGTACATCCTGAATGATCTTGACTCACATACGGATTTCTGACTCTGCCCAATTTCCTAAAGATCAGGCACATATTAGGATTACTTTCTTGCTGCCCATATCACACATTCTAGACTCGTTTTATTTGTCCACAACTTTCTGGCGATGGTTGGTGTTCGTATGCCCTGTAGAATTGTTATACATCAGTCTTGGATTTAGATTTCACAGCACCCTGCACTTTGAGATATTATTGAAAAGAGCCTAGTAGAAAGCATACCATATTCCTCCAACGCAGTCCTTGCGCCCGAATATGCGGATATAACCAGAGCATTGCTCTTGGACGAGTTCTCGTATAGCTGCTAGACCGGCGCGACCGACGCCCATCACAGCGACACGTTTGTAGCGAGGTGAAACCATGGCGAACAGGCGTACATAGTGCTACTATTGACATATTCAAAACCTGAGAATAAGCAGTAAGTTAGGCACTAAATATCCGGCGATCATCGATCGGGACTAATTGTCGCTAAGAACTAAGAGAACTCGAGCCCTATCAGTCCCCTATCGTTTCGTTGTCGTTGGCCGGTGGCCTATCGAATCTCGTATCGATAAGGAATTTGTGCCCTAACAACCTGGGCTTTACTATGGACGCTGGTAGATTCATTCCACCATTGCCATTATACAAGTAATACAATACCCAATTCAATCAAGTAGTAAGGGAATAAACACAAATGGTCATCACTGGTCGCTGGACAAATGATGTTCTTCACCCCTGAAGAACTACACGCCCTGCAACCGATATTTTGGATATCCAGCGTAGGATCCCCATTCTCACAGGACTCCTAGGCTACGCTCTCCTCTTTAGCAAGAGCCCCATCCGGCCATGGAAATACTTCATGATAACAACAGGAGGCCCCTCACTCCTTGTATCACTTTGGTCCTGGTTATTCTGCCTTAGCAACCCAATGATAGCCCGATATCTCTCAACTTAGGAGAAAGTCCACGTAATCCCGCCGAGTCCACGACGCAACCCAAAGCACCATCGAACAAAAGGTATTCAAACGATACCAGGCGCGCGAAGCTCTCCTCGATCCCGTCTCCTGGCTATTCGCCCTAAGCTCGTTCACACTCATGCTGGGCAATAATCTCGCATTCCAGCAAAGCCTGTTATACATTCAGACCGAAGTTTCCGACCTCGGATCAACGCTGGTCTGGGTTGCTGGGGGCGGCTTCGCCATGGTGGTCGCCATCATCGCCTCACTCCTCCTAAAACCACTGCCGAATTACAGCGCCTATTGGGCTACACTCTGGTGGCTTCCGGCTATTGCAGGCGAGATCGGCATGGTCACCCTGCCATGGGACCGGACCGTTCCGTTGCTCGCGTGTTTGCTCCTAGCCTGTAACACTTGGGGGATGGCGTATATCATCTCACTAGGCTGGGCTGCATCTAGCTGCGCTGGGTATACGAAGAAGCTTACCCGGAGCGCGATGTTCATGGCTGCGTATGGTGTGTCGAGCATTATTTCTCTGCAGATGTGGAAACGCGGTGGACCGCGGTATTATGGGACGTGGATTCGTGCAGATTGTTATTTCTTGGGTGGGTACCGCGGTGTTCCTCTTTGTCATTCGGTAGATTCTGGCTCGGAGGAATGAAGAGCGCCAGATGTGGATTGAACAGCAGATAGCTGCTGGGAACTTGGGGACTGAATTCGTGGAGGTTCGGGGCGAGGAGGAAGGGAGAATAGCTGAAGTGGATGTTTCAATGCTGGATTTGACGGATTTGGAGAATAAGTTTTTTTTTATATAACCTCTGTAAAGGATCTGCGACTATTAGTAGCAGGACATTCAAGCTTTGCGAGTAGATATGTACTGTCAATAGAATTGTAGACTTTACAGCTTTAGAAGTGCTTCGAATGTTTATAGTGATACTGTGTAAGTTGTAACATGTTACACTTAGTCACATGGCATAGCGAATATGCATTTGTGTCCTTTTTTTTTTTTTTTTTTTTTATTTTTTTTTTACTTCTTTGTCAAATAAGAATGGTTTTCTTTAAGGTCGTATTTGTTGGCACTGTTCTGAGGTACAAGCGCTATTTCTATACTACATCGTTTATATCTATATTTATGTGCAAATGATCTCCCGATAACAATTTAGATACGCATCCTAACCTTCAATTTGTCCTCCCTCACAATCTCCTCTTCCTTCTGCAATAGCTCCTCCACGTCCCAAGTCACTGAGACATACCTAGCAGCTAACCACTCCCGTCTTTTCTCAGTAAGGAATACCAACGTATCTGCACACAGCTCTGGAGTTTCTGTCAAAGCCTTGTGCATCTGTTCAGGAAGCCTTTTTCCCATATCCGTTGGCACCCCGCCAGGGTGCACAGCAAAAGTCAGAACACCGTCCGGTCCATGATCCGCATCCAAAAATTCCGTAAAGCGAAGAACAGCGAGTTTGCTGGTTTGGTAAGCTGAAGCTCCAGGTGATGTCAAATGTGCCGCAATGCTGCCCAAGTTTACAACGATCTTGTCTCCGCCTTTGCTTAGCATCTGCGGAAGAAATGCCCGAGTGACTAAGTATGGCCCAATGACATTGACCGACCATGTCTTCTGCCATTCGGATGGGTCGCTTTCCACGATTTTGACGCGTTTTTCAAGGTACCCAGCGTTGTTAATAAGAATGTCTAGGCGGGGGAACGATGAGGCAATCGAGGTGGCCGCTGATGATGCGCTCTCTGCATCTGTCACATCTAGTGTAATAGGTACTACTTGGGGAGCTGGTTTGCCTGCTTCCTCTGCAGCCTGAGTAAGAAGTGGTACGAGCGACGAGAGATCTGTACGAGCGCCGACCCCGATCCCAGCACAGCCGGCTTTTGCATATGATAACGCAGTGGCCCACCCAATGCCTTTGGATGCGCCTGTTATGAAGACGTACTTTCCGCTTAGGTCACATTTACGCGGATCAATAGCTGGGTAGGTGTCGGTGTGGCTGGTCGGGGTGAAGTAAACCCCTGGACTTGATATCAGCATTGCGTTTATAGGGCTTTAGATTCGGAGTTGAGGGAAACCTCAATGTTACCTGTATGCAATCCGTCACTCATTATGCACGATTTGTATATACACAGTACGGAACTGAGACGAAACCGCTGTGTAGGTCGGGAGAAGAGGAGCGAGAGGTGAAGAGTGGGGCGGAAGTTAAAGTCGTGATAAAGGTGACTAGTCGCAAGTTGTAAATTTCCACGAGATTATTAATTCGATCGTCAGTCGACCTTTCAGTTGATTCCCACATCATTTGAATCGAATAGGGTCAACAATTAATTCCGACCGTAACTCCGAGACGCCGGTACTCATCGATAACAACATTGCCGAATCCCCGGTTTCTAGGACTAGGACTATGCCCGACAGTCCCCACAAGGACCCCACGTTTGCATTCTGAAAATCATTGGCAATGCCCTGCACAGTCGTGGAAGATGGTTTGGACTTGGTTTCAAGGAAGGTCATCTGGGAAGACCGTCCGAACGAAATGTTCTACGTCATTCCATAGATCCTCTGCTTCTTCCATGGCAGCAAAATGACCACCTTGAACGTGAGCATTGTACCATACTAAATCACCCAGTGTCGCTGCCCACTTCCTAGGGATGCCGCTAATATCATATGGGAAGCGGCTGTAGCCAAATGGCTTCGGAACAAAAGGGATCATGTTATCAGGAGCATCCAGACTGGATAGTTGGTAATAATCACTTGTCGTCATTCCCATTAGGTAGTAGACCGAAGCGTGTATCAAGGTTGTTTGCATGGGTAAAGTGTGTTGTGGATCTACCCAATTGTTGAACTTGTCACTAAGCCTAACACCTCATCAGTAATTCGGAGTTGCAAACACTAGACCACTAGACATCTCTCACCAGGCCAACAATGACAATGGGTCTTTCTTCGGAACAACTCCTATAGTGACCTGGCTTCCATGGTCTGCAATATCTGTCTTTTGGAGAGACTTGAAATGTGAAGTTCGGTTAAGAATCTCAAGATCTTGCTCACTAAGGTCGGTATCGTTACTTGGGTCGGGTAACCCGGAGATAGGAGGGAGAGAGTTGACTAAACAACTGTTACTTCTTGCTGCCGAAGAACAAAATTTTTCGTCAAGTGGGACGAGTGAGAATTACCATGTACAGCTTGGCTACAGTTAGTAATCTTTCCAATCGCCAGCGCAGATTCAATGAAAGTGGCGTACCTTCGCAACTGGGACTATATGACCCAAGTAGCCTAGCAACATAGGCCCCCATACCGCCACCTTGGGCAATGTAACCATTATCCAGGCCAATGCTGGTGAGCACTGCATCAATGGTCCGAGCTACGGCGAACATATCTGCGTGTCTAGTCACGGGGGAGCCAGCAGAGTAGGCATATCCAGGCAAAGACGGTACAATAAGATGAAACGGGCAATCTTTAGAAGAATACTTCTGGCGCACGATATCAAGAAGGCCTGTAAAATCAAGGAAACTTCCAGGCCATCCGTGTAAGAAGACGATGGGGATAGCATCTGGTTGCTGCGAAAACAACGCCATGAAATGGATATTAGAATCATGACCGTCAACAGTCACGGACGTATTGAACTGAGGGTGGCGGTTAACTTCAACTTCTAGAAATGGCCCATTAATCTCGGTCCAGCCTTCAGACGCAAGCGCGATCCAATGCTGCTGCTCGTTATCGTAAGCATCAGGATTGCTAATTCGGGCATGTTTGAGACTTTCGTGCATCTGATATACTTCATTCTGCGAGAACTCGAGTTGTACACGCTCAACTGGGATTGACGCTTTCAATGGAAGGTTAGACCATGCATCTGATGATGCATTATGGCGAGACTGCTCTATGCTTTTCGACGTAAAGGCCGACACAACAGCAAAAGAAGCCAAGCAAGCAAGCACCTTCAGGGTTGAGAAATACATAGTAAAGGTGATACTAGAGTCAAATGAGAGGACTCCGATAGATGTCAATGACACTCATTGCAGGTGCTAAGAGAAAGAGAGTAATGTCTCAGGCGATAAACCTTTCGTCACGTCTTTTTTCTTATTTGCTCCTCCGTCCCTCCTTCCTTTAATTTCTTCTCCTCACAGGGCTGACAGGGGGATCATCCATGAGATAAAATCCAGAATGGAATCATGGACACGTTGATCCACTTGTTCGAACGGAGATTCGATTACTTCCGAGCTGATGCGCGAACTATCTTCATTATCGAGAATACCATTTGCGAATTGTAACCATTAGATCGCTTTTAGTGCAGAACCTGCGCCTCATTCTCTCACGCACGGTCATGGGGAGACCAAAATGATTTGAGCATAAATGCCATAGTAGCGCGCTAACGGATGCTTCGGAATGTAGGAATCTTGATGGTTGGGACGCCCAATCAGCATAATTGGTAGTATTGCTCGGGCTCGGGGACTGCGGACTTCCGCTTTCATAAGAAATACGCCCGGCTTCCGAAACCTATGATTAATTGGTCTCATCCCATAAAAGGAATAGCGGCATATGAAAAATCAACCAAGAAAGCGATTGTATCCTTCAAGACCTCAACAAGGATGAACACATAACAGCGCCAAAGCCCTGGGGAAAATTGGTAATCATGCGTATCCCAACCAAGGCCAGATTTCTCACGCGCAAGGGAGACGAATTGGCTGTGCAGATTCTACTTTTCTACAATACGACACGAAACATGGAAAATAATTTGACCGGAACAAAATGACTTGGTTGAATTGAGCAAGATCACTCAAACCTATCTATGGCGTTTCTGCCAGGGTATCCTTTAACTCCTCGCCAAGACACTGTTGCTCCTGAGCACATTCCTCGCTCGGACCTCACCAGGCCACATATATCCCGATACTATTCAAGACATAAACTTTTAGTCGGTCGTCTAGTAGAAGAATCCGAGGAGCTTGCCAGCAACGTGCTTGCGACGAGCCTCCTCGTGGTCCATGATACCAGCGGAGGTGGTCAGGACGACGAAACCGAACTGACGAGAGGGAAGGAGCTGGGTGGTCCACTTCTCGAGGTCACGGAGCTGGACGGGGTAGCGGGGGTTGATGACACCGCACTTGTTGAGACGACCGTTGAGCTGGATGACAATCTTGCCGGAACGGTGGTCATCGACCTCCTCGAACTCGCCAATGTAGCCTAACGAAGATAGAGTCAGCAATGTTACGAAGATTTAAAAGTTCACCAAACACAGCAAAAAGAAATCAGGAAACTTGTAAGATCTCCGCCTTGTTAAAAAAAAACAAATTTCAATATATCGGGTACTTAAAGGGCGGACGTCGTTTAAAGATCGAGATCGCCGCCTAGTTATCAACCCGAAGAACAAACGAATACATTTTCCAGTATACACATGATCAAGATAGCAAAAGAGGCCAAGAACAATTAAACAGAAGGCGATAATCGAACGGAAAATAGATATGCATACCGTGCTTCTGCATGACGCTCAGGAACTTGACGATGACCTTGGAGGAAGGACGGACGAGGACCTGGCGCTTGCCAGCCTTCTCGGCGTTGTTGATCGCGTTAAGCGTATCGTTGAGGACGGAAGTCTTGACCATTTTGGCGGTTGATTTTCGAGATTCTCAAATCGAGAGACGGGATAAGAGGTATCTAATGTTGAAAGGAGAATCATGTCAGCCACCAGTAGTCTTCGAGCGTAAAGAGTGCCCCTTTAAGAATTTTTCATCAAGGGTTCTTCAGCCCGTGCCGTGAAATGAGAGAAGCGTATCACCTGGACCCTCTGGTAAAAGCTTTTCAACTTTCCTGCGGTTGCTACTCCACAAGGATTGAAAAGGCCAGAGTTCCATGATGATTGCTCTCTCAGACTAGCTGAGAGGCCGCGAGAAGGGGTTCAATAACGAGTAATACATACCTCGAGGGTAGTACCGATGAGGCTGGTGAGAACGGGGATGTGATAAAAGAAAAGTTCTATCAAGAGTTGAACAGTGAGGTTTTCGGCATGTGCGCGGGTAGGGTTATGTGACTCTTGCCCTTATTTTAGTCACGTGGTAACTGCGAGTGAGTGCCTCAGGCAGTATTGTGGAGTATCAAATACATACAGTTATCATCCTGCAGTACTATGCCAAGGCGAGTAATCACTACATAGCTCCCACAATACGAGCACTATAATTTCAATATAGGATAAGAGCCACGTAACCATACCCCAGTATTGAATACTGCTTCTATCGGCTCGTGCATATATCCGCTTACCATCCCAACAGATTCTACCCCATGATATCAATGGATCACTGTTGTCAGGGAAAGGACGGTGGGTTATTTATATGCCTGAGTGTGTGGCGCGAACCCGATACATCTGCCACCGCAGCCCGATCATTGATTGGCTTTAACAGTTTGACGGGACGTAGGTTGAGGACTAGCCTCTACTTCCCTCTCTGGAGACTACCATGACATCCAAACGCAAATCTGCGCCACGGATTACATTGTATACGTTACCTGACCATCGGGGCCCCTTGATCTACTATACCACACCCCACTGTCCACAGGCAGGTCAGATTCTGCTACTAAGCATCTCACACACGCTTATTCAGGTTGTATCATTGGCTCTATACAGGATCTTTTGGTGGGTAGAATCGGAATATACGGGAAGTGTGAAATATTCGTTGCAGTGTTTCTCTTAAGGGGTTACATGACTTCTTGGGCATACATGAGGTTGAAGATAATGCTATAGGGGTCTTTGTCTAATTAAGGCGACTTGGAACGGAGAAGGGAAGGGGGTAAATCGATAGTAATAGTAGGATGAAGGTGATAAACAAACAAGATGCCAGCAGCGATGAACAGGGTGCATTCAGGCGTCATGAGGGGGGGCTAATGGTTCCGAAAAGTGGGAAACAGGGAGTGCCCAACAGGGAGCTGAAGGACTGGGGAACATGGGAAAGGGTGATGGGATAGGGAAGTTTGAAGAACGGAGAGGGTGGTAGTGCTTAGATCAAAGCGGTATCAGCTCGTTCAACCGTACCATATGATACAGGGATATTTCGTCTGGCAAGTTCGATCCACGGCACGGCGTTTCAGCATTCCTCGTGAAACGATATTCACTTTATGGAATGGGAGCAAGTGGTCCATGGCGTAACTTCTCTGAGTGCGCCTAAAGGAGCGGCTTGCTCCGAGGAGGGTGGTCTCGACGAGAGCAATTGATGGCTTTTTGAGCGCTAGGGTCCATGCTTACGCCATGGCTGCGGCAGTAGACAAGGTGACCTGACGTTTGACCTGTTCACGAGCCCAGCGAGCAGTGTCAACTGTGGTCGTGCCAAAGTCTCGGTTGTTTCTAGTGTCTCTGACCAAGTCCGTGACCCAGGCGTTACGGAAGAAGGCCGCAAACTCTCCATTTGGGAACGACTCCGCGATGTCGCTGTTTAATAGTTAGACACAACAGTACGTGTGAGAAGGCTCAATATGACAAACGTACCCAAGAACACCCATGGAGGCCCTCATCAGCCCCTCACTCCGGTTGAGATCCTGAGAGATCAGGTGGAGGAGCTGGAAGATAGATTCAACATAGGGCTGGAGCTGAGTCACTGCAGATGGCTTAGCACACGTCTCAAAGACTGTGTTACACACTTGCTTACCTTGAGGCTTGCCCTTATAAGACAAAACAATACCACCCCAGGCATCCATAATGCCTTCGCGAAGCGAGACAATGTAGTCAAGCATCTCAATATTAACGTCCGAGCTGGCGGTTACAATCGATGCCTGCTGGAGGACCTGGGCGACAACAGACAGGTATGTGTCGAAGTGTGTTCCAATAGCCTGAGCAATGTCTCCGAACGTCTCGAGGATTGCAGGCTTCAATTGATTCGTGGAGCTCTGCAAAAAGGACTTAGCAAGGGACAGATCTTAGTTTACTATCATGAATATAATTATCTTACCCTCAAGTTATTGAGCAAGTAGTTCATGAACGAGTCGCAGTATGGCTGGACCTTTTCATTCAAGGCACGGGAGATATCGCTGACCAGTCCAATGGCCATAGCACAGAGGCCAGGTTCTTCTTGGTTGCCAAGAGCGTTATAAAGGAATGGCGAGAAGGGTTCCATATACTTGACGAAGTCCTCCTCTAGTGCACTTGCAATAGCGCCGACTGTGGCGAAGACGACATCAGGCACGCTGGACTTGGGGGGAACAGTTGTTAGGACCTGGATCATCGCATGCATGATACGGTCTGCCTGAGGCTTAATCTCAGTCTCGAGACGTTGAACAATAGCCTAAATTGTCAGTCAAATTACACATAAATGCACCCCTGGGCTTAAAGAACTTACCAATATAACGCTGGTTAAGCTAGTTTGCACCTCTTCCAGAGTGATCCGATCTTCCACACTAACAACTTGCTGTTGCATGGGGATGGTGTGCTCCAGACGCTGAATCACAACGTCGGAGAGGCTCGCAACCATGGGGAGACTGTCGTTCGCCGCATTAGTCACGAAGGAGTTCAGAACTTCATATCCAGCAGTCCGGAGCTGGTTGTCTGCATCTTGCCTATTAAGATGTTAGTAAGCCAGGTCCAGGAAGACCACCCTTTGAACTATATCAGACATACCTCTCAGTGAGAGTAAGAAGCGACTTAACACTCTCTTCAAAGTGCTTTGATAGGGGGTTCGTCTGCGCACCAACGTCACCGGCAAAACGATCGGCAACGTTCATCAGAGCCCAGCAGCAGGAGCTGGCAATCTTAGGGGTGCTAGCAAGCCCGTTGAACAGGCAAGAAATAAGGGGTTGTAAATGCACGTCAGGGTCCAGGGTCTCAGAGCAGAAGTCGCACACGCGACCAAGGGCATAGGCTGCCGAATCACGAACTTGGATGGAACTATCTTCCATCATGCCAACAAGAACACCCAAGGCCTGCTTGACCAGGGGTTCAAGGACCTTAGGATCCGGTCCATCCATGATGGCACCGAACGCCGCAACTGCAGCGTCTCTTCGACGCCAATCTTCATTACGAATGTTCTCCTCAACAAAGGAGAGGACAGGCTGGATGACCTCACCCTGGACACAAGAAGCATAGAGTTGCAGAGCCTGATAAGCCGCGCGAGAAACATTGTACTCATCATCCGTCGCATCCTCATCCTGTCTGCACATAGCCTGCAACAAGACAGGGACAACCTCTCTGCACGCCACGCGGGCGAAGCCAAAGAAAGGACGGACCTCAGGTGAACCCTCCGCTTGCGCCTATTCAATTCGTTAGTAATCTTCCCCTTCAAATGCGTGTAGAAAACTAGACGAACCGCAGCGTTGTCATCTTCAATGGCAATTTCCTCTTCGCAAACGGAGCACCAGAATTCAATAGCCAGCTTGGCGACATCTTCCTCCTCGCTCTTCATACCCATGATGCTGAGGCCAAACAAAGCCTTCTCCATGTAGAAGCGCATTTTCTCGTAATAAGCAGCCATGATACGGTTCAAGCAACCAAATGCGCCCGCCTGAACACGGAGATCATCGGCCTGTGTAGCCTCACAGACCACCTGCATGATATAATTACGTTCACCTTCATTATCCATGTTCGACCGAACAAAATCTACTGAGTCACTGAGAGCCTTGATAGCAGCGTAGCGGATATCCATGTTGGTTTCTTCACGTCGGGCGCCCTGCACAACAGCGGTCAAGATTGCATTGGAGTGAGTAGTCAAGCTCTCCCGAAGATCAGTATCCTGGGATTCACAGATGAAACCGATTGTGATGAGGGATGCTTGCTTCAACTGGCTGGACCCGTTGGCGATATTCTGAACCAAAACATTCATCAACTCGGGCCATTCATTCCGAGGTAGCTCGATGGCGGCAATAGAGACGATAAACTGGGCTGCAGACTGGCCGGCCCGGGCGTCTTTAGAATCCAAAGTCTTGAGCGCAAGCTCCTTGACCTGTGTCTTAATCTCCGGGCTAATTTGTTGCTGCCATTTTCCTTGCACTTCACGTAGCTTAGCATGATCTCTGAAAGTGAAAGCATTCTTCAGTGCGAGACCCGCAGCGGTTCTGATGTGGGAAGGGGTGTTTTCATTCGCCAGTTCTTGGCCAAGGGTAACAAGGTATCCGGCCTACATGGGGGAAACGCCACGGTTAGCATAATGATGACGGTCAACGAGTGATCGCTCGAAGCGACACCTAATGGAGCGCCCGGGAAACATACGAAATCGACCTCCGCCGCGTGGACAAGCTGCTGTTCCGCATTTGTACGTGTTGTCGCATCTATTAATCAAAGCAAAAATCACCCGTCAGCATCGTTCTTGATCGCTCCAAAGACCGTTTCAATAGAGAGGGTAGAGGGGAAATCTTACCTGGCGACAGAGTGCCCTCCAATACCTGAGTGACATTCATGTTGTCGGAAGTGGGACACTGACCACGGGAAAGAAAAGAAAAAGAAAAGGTAAGAAATAAAACAAATACAGCTCCTCTGGCTTGACTAAATTTTAATAGGCAACAAGTTAATTATGAAAATTGCCCACGACAAAGGAGTGGCAGCGTGGACGAGGAGACAGAAAGAAATCCTGCTGTTTTTGTGGATATATGACGAGGCATGCACCAGTTCTTCCGGCAAGTAGGACAAGAGGGAGGAAAAGACGGCTTGTGGTGCACGCCGAAGAGCCAGGAGAATAGGGAAAAAAACCGCACTCCGAGGTCTATGTTTCAGAGAGACAGGAGAAGAGAGAGGTAATTATTTGGTTCACAGAAACCTTTTTTTTTAAGTTCTGATAGAAAACGTTTAATCAAAAGAGAGAAAGAGAAGGGGAGAGAGAAAGCGAGAGCGAGGGAGAATAATAGTGTGTCCCTTCAACTTTTGATCCGCAATGAGGAATGAGAGCGACGATGGGCAGAAAACAACCAGTCAGCGCTCGGCGGAGCCCCCAAAACTCGCCTGCTGATTGGACTGTGACCACTGGTTTAGTCATGGCACGTGACCGCTAGACAGCCTG